GGTGGCATGCTTCAAGCTTGAAACTTCGAAACCATGACCCCATTTCCTGAGAATGACATCACATGCACGACTAACTAGTCTCCATCGTTGCCGAAACGGCCACTTGCAATACGCCACAATTTTGCGACAACAGCTATGCCCTATTCTGGTACACAATCGTGCCCCAGTGCTGTAGCATTTACTTTTGATTGTGACGTACATGTATGGCACCCAAGCACATGGCAAGCCAACACCAAGCCAATCATGCAGACAATAGGGGACCAAAGTGCGAAGTACAAGTTGGCTAAGCAAGGTTGCATCATGTGGCATCAAGCTGGACAAAGTCCAGGTTGCAGAGCACACGGTGTAACACAGCAAAAGTGCATGGTAACATGTCAAGTCAACTTTCCACATGCGTGCCTTGTCTTTGTCATCAGGGACGCGAACTATGGTTGTCCCGGACAACAACTCACCCGCAAAACTATCATATTGTGCTTTGGTAAGTATATCCCGCGCCAAGGAGGACTGAACGGCAACATGACTGGAGACACAAGAAGTGAGACCTGCCTGGGACGCTAGATGGCACCCTTTTGGCAAACGCGCTTGCTGGCACCATGTCTGGACAGCAAGGTCAACAACTTTGGTTTTCTCTTCTAGGGAAAGTCGCTTTTTGGCTTTCATGTTTCTGTCAACTTTCTGCATACCATTTCCTTGGATGGCATGCGACAGTGATGCAGAATCCAACGACAAGGCACTTTGCAAACAAAAACTTCTGGCAGCCCGGCCGTGTGACAACAAATCCTTGAAGGTAGGACATTTCCCAACAAGAACTCGTGTCTTTTTCAAGACCCATGTCACCACATGCGGCGGCCATCTTGGCGATGACCGGGCTAAGGTAGCGACCAACGATTTGCAAGGACCGACAAGACAAGGTTCCGGCACAGTCACAACAAGCAATTTCTTGGAGGGAAGACCTTCAAACTTCATGCATTGCGAAGCACGGCGCAGGACCTGTCTGCGTCTGCCAGCTGTTTGCACAAGTCCCCCAAGTTTTTCAAGCTCAACACCAAGGAAATCACACTTCCATGCCGCACGCAAGCGATTCCAAGCAACACATGAGCCGCGTGTCCCTATCCACAGAACCATGAGACGGCGAACCTGAGGGGAATAAATGTTCACAGGACCACAGAAGCCACTGGAGAGGAACAATTGCCGCTGCAACTTCCGGTACGCCACTGAAAAGCTCTGCGACCAAGCTCCAACAAGCAATGGGTCAGGATTTGGGGGCCGCACTGCGAGGTTCCTAAGTTTGAGTTCCTTACAAAGTTCCCGATCTAAACGCATTGCACCAACATGGCAGGACCAGGTCGGATCAAGACATGGCAATTTTTTTGGCCGGCGTCGCCACTGTGGCGGTCTCATCCGGCGTTTCTTTGTTTGCCGTGCTGGAAAATTTGCAGGTCTGCGCGAGAAATTACCATTGGGCCGATACGCCTTAATGGCAAGAGACTCACGTGCCCGGATTTCGCATTCTGGCCCAGATCGGACCGGCAACCACATCATGGACACAAGTGGGATACGTCGTGCAAGACGGTACCTGTGGATGCACCCGTGTGTACACTGGGCTCTAGCTCTTAAAGTGAGGTGCTCAAACAAGCGACAGACCATGCCAGAAACTTGCGGACGGGACATGCGTGAAAACCTAGCAATGCCAAGGTATTGAAACCCACGACCAAACCAAGCATACATGCCAAAAGCATCGGGCGTACTCCCCTGAGTCACACAGTTTGTGGCCCAGGCAACGAGCTTCTGCACGTGCTTCAAATGCCCAAACAAAATGGCCGCCTGGTATTCAAGATCAAGCAAAGCAAGGACTTTTCTTGCAACAGTACAATGGGACGAAATCTGCAGCCACACCAAGGATTTTACAATGAACAAAGTGGCAACTAGTTCTTCCAAAACACGGTCTTGTCTCCGCCATTTATGATCAGGGGGAATCAAAAAGGTGAGTGCAGCAACTAAAGACCGATTGCAAAGGAGAATGAAATTGCCATGTCCCTGTTTCTTTGTCAAAACACAACCTGCATCAAGCCAAATCTTCTTTTTTAAGATCTCCCACGTTTCATGGTACACACATGGTGGCTGATTGATATGGAAGGGCAGCCCGAGGAACTGCGAGAAAACTTCATTAAGCGGATCAGCCCACACAGCACTCAGAAGCAGAACAAGCCCAAATTTGGAAACCAAATTGTACCAGTCTCCTCCGTACCGTGTGGTGAACAAGTACGCTAGCTCACTTGTTTGAAAAGGCATCAAGCAGATCCAAACGAAGCAACCTAGCCTTGAAGCGTTACACTGGCAACCGTTGTGATCGGCAAATTGCGTCAAACCGGAAATGCCAGGGCTGTCTCAACTGTGACTTCGAAGCTGCTACGAGCAGCCGGATCTGTTTTCCACAACAGGAAGGGTCATCGGCCGGGGCTAGCTATTTGAGCGCCGAATTGGTGTACGCACGGCCCCACTTTGCCCTCTCGAGCAAAGAAACCCTGCGCCACATCTGTGTCTACCAGAATGGATGGTAAGCAGTCATCGCACCAAAGTAGAGTCATTCGCTTCCATCTTCTTTGATAATTAATTGATGATAGCAGCCTGGAGAGAGCATGAATTAAAAGGCAAAACCCTAGCTCCAGCAAATCTCCATCACTGGTACCCTCTGGTAAACTAACAGTTTGCTATGGAAAATCACCATTTTTGATGGGTAAATCCACTATTTCTATGGCCATTTTCAATAGCTATGTTAAATTACCAGAAGGTAAATGAGGTGAATCAATCCACCACAGAATTGCAACAGGTTGGTGTGTGGATTAACACACACATGCCCATACTAAGCCTTTTTAACACAAGGGCAACGAAGGACGCCCCTAGAGTTACATTTTTTGAAACCTGAAATGGACATGCCCCTGGAAGATGTTTGAGTCTGCAATGGTTGCTCTTGAGTTTTTGAGTCCCACATGTTGGACCTCTTTCAGTGGAAAACTTACCTTGAAGGCCAAACTGCTTGGATCTAGCAGGGCGAAGAGGCTGAATCAGAGTGACCAAGAGGCTGAACCAGAGCCAGAAAGTTATTTTTCTTCGCTTTCTCCCAGACTTCCGGCAAGTTGGGAGACATGAGATCAATGGGAATTTCAGGATCCTAAATTGGAGGTACCTACCGTATGTAAGGCCTATTTTTCAGGCCTAAATTTCAGGGAATATCCCCAGCAAAATATGGCCTGAAATATGGTACGTTTACGTACCTCCATCTGTTGGATCCTGAAATTCCCATTGATTAATCACTATCATCCATTTCACCATAATATCCATATATTACTATTAACCATAATATGGGCTTTTCCATTTAACCCACTATATTCGTTCACGCCGTTTTTTTCATGGAGCCTCTCCCGGGCTTACCTAGGTGGCTACGGTGGAGAGGTATCTTTGGACCCCGGTTCAACATGCCCAAATCGATTGCGGTGTCATGTCATTCCCTTTTAAGGTTACGGTTACAGCATATTTTCAATTGTATGCCGGCATTTGACAAATATATCTCCCCACATTTCTGAACATCCCATTTTTTGCAGCACATTGGTATAGCCAATTGCTATATCAATGTGTTTCAAGGCTACTGAAATTCCGGCTGGGATCGAAACCAACGGATTGCTTTCATCAACTGCGTGTGAAGGATTGCTGGATTATTCTTCGTAAGCTGGGAGAGATGGAATGTCAATGTTTTCCTGTTTTTCCTTAGTTTGGAACTCACATATACATTATTCAAATGCAAGGTGTGGCTGCATGCTTTGTTCACACTGGTATGGGATTCTTTGGGTGCAGACCATATGCCAGCAGTCCTGACAATCGCGGATAACTATGGATAACATGCTCTTAAAGCGTACAACCCATAGTTGTGCACGGTGGATCAATGTTGAAGATGGATCATCAATGTCTTGCATTTTTTTTAATATCATAACTCTAAATATCAAGAAACCTGTGTTGGGCATAGACATCACATACTCATTTTTGTACAATGGGTTGGTCTGAACTGGTTTGTCATTATCTTCCCCATGACAATGGCCATCGTGGGCGTATGCCTTTTTGTGTGCACCCGATATGTTGAGTGATGAACCAAATAAACAAAAAAACATGGCTGCACCTCCTCTCCCCCAAGGATTTTCACACGTTTGAACATCTCCACTGCGGAACCCGTGCAAGACTCCATCCTGGCCGGGGAAGCTGTCGCGGGATGGGGGATTTTTGTTGAGGTTCAAAGGCTAGGCTATACCACAGATATTGCCAACCAAGATAGTATAGTCTTATCGTGCCTTATCTATATAAGATGAAGGTTATGAACACATAGAAGTAGAAAATCTAATCACATTCTCTTGTATAATCTGAATTTCCAATTGATGTCATGATATTGATATGTATTGGATTATGTAGTGTCAACCCTAGATGAGACTAAACCCTGGTTGAATAAATTCGGGGTTTCCCCAGTTCTCTCAACTTATATATTATGGCACCCTCCAATTAAACAGCCTCGGGGGTTACTAATCCGAGGTTGACATTGCGTCATTCTTAGTAGGACAGTCGCGTTCTCAGTCAGTCATCTTTTCATATTTGTTGTGTACCCAATCCCTATCTCATGCCCAGATGTTGATATATCTTGGTCATTTCCGCTTTGTCATTGTCCCAGAATGTGGTACCCCCATTTCCAATGGGCTATCTATCAACGTGGTTTTCCTATCCTCATTGCAGTTTTGGCGATACACTCTTTTGGGGGTATCCCATGGGTAACCCCAAATTCTAGCCGGAAGTTCCCTCATTTTTGGGGGTCCAAAAAATGCTGAACTAATGTCTATAAATGCAAGAAGTTGGTGATGTCGGACAGAGCTTTCCCCAAAAAAATGGTCCCCAAATCATCCAGCATCGGAAGGACCATTTTGAGTATTGAAACCTATGGTTTTCCGACGCCCTGCACTGCCATGGCGACGGGAATTCCGGATTATTCGGAGAGTTTGTTGATGAAATGCAGTGTGAACCATAGTGACATAGTGATAGTTTGTTTACCCTCTGGTTATTTAACATAGCCACGGTATAGATGGCCCATAGAAATAGAGGATTTTCCCATTAAACCTCCATTTATTTACGGGATTGTCCATGGCTATGTTAGTCATAACCAGATGGTAAATAGTGTTTCACTATGTTTCATTACTTTGATGAAATATCACATAGCTTGATGCCATTTTTTTTCATGCTTAAGCCAAAGAAAACATGTTTTTCGTCTCAGCAGTCTGAACCACCTCAATGATGATCCAGTTGCTTCAGGCTTCCGCGAGTTCGCTTGGTGGTGGCTGGGGATCCCAGGGTTCCGAAGCGCGAAGAACGGAGCCGACGGAGCCCCGATCCAAGGCGCTCCAGGTGGTTTCACGGTGCGAGGCCTGTCAAGGTCGAAGATTACAAGGTACTAAGTTGGTTTATATACCCATGAAAACTATATAGAAATGGCCGAAATGATCCGAAATGGATATTTAACGTAGCTCTAGAAAGTCACCATCATGAATTTACGGTAAATCACGATAAATCATGTATAGAAATGGGCCATGGCTTCCATAGCTATGTTTCATCAGAGGGTAGCCCCCATAAACCCTGGCTATGTCGGATAGGGGTCCCCTCCATCACCCCTCAGGCTGGAAGTTGAACGTCACGGGCACAGGCTTCGCCCCTCCCAAGAGTCAAGGCGACTGGGTCGCGTGGGGGGCTGAAAGTGGTGATTTTCCATGGCACACCGATAAATCACCAGAGGCTGTGTGTATATATATATATACCTTAATCTTCAGAATTCAAGAACCTATAAAAATGATGGTCGGAAGCTGAGAACCTGGTTTTCACCGATATATAGTGGTAGATCATACATCTATTTCCATATCATTCCATATCTATAGTAATTATACGAAGTTCCTTTATTCCAGACCTCTTAGACTCTTGAAATGGAGGGAACTTTGGAGTGGCAGCTATCAGGTGAACCACCAGGTGTATCCAAGTGTCCTATTAAGAACTAAAATCTAAAGAAATGGGAGTTGATCAGGTAATATAAAGTAGAAGAATTTGGAATTTTCCTGGCTGTAGTTATAAGATGCAACAAGTTGATTAACCTATATTAACTAGTTCTAAATCACCACACCAACTGATCATGAATCAGTTCTAAATCCATACGAAAACCCGGGAATCCCATTTGTTCCATGGTTTTTCACGGTGAAATCACGCGTTTTCCTAAGTCTAACCCAACAAAAGCATCATTTTCCATAGGAAAAAGCACCCTTTTTCCATGGGAAAACCACCGTTTCCACCGCGCTGCAGGCGCCGAAACCTTCGTAGAGGTCATGGTCTGTGGCCGACCATGTGAAGTGGTGCGGCAACCTGGGGTCGCTTCGGTGGGATCCACAAGATAATTATAGTAATATAATGCTATGATTTATATATATATGTAATATGTATCACTATATAATCATATAATGATATCATAATATCATAATATAATAACATAATAATATAATAGTATAAATATATCCCAAATAATAATATCAGTAATAATAATAATATGTAATAATAATAGTATTAAAATAATAGTAATAATAATAATAATAAAAATAATTATATATATATGATATACATATTACAATATAGCAACAAATTATTGGAGTGAAGACTATGTAAGTATCATCAACCATAGTTATTGGACATATGTGCAGCAACTTAGCAACCAAAACCACCAAAAAAAACATGGAAATAACAATTTCCAGGGATATAATAGTGGGATATATATATATGGGATATAATCACTATAAAGTTACATATTGGATATATATATATATATATATATATATATCATATGGGATTGAATCACAATGGTTACTGGAGGATCATCCCAGTTACCGAGGTGGAGGGCACGCCTGACTCTTTGGAGTGTATCGTGCCAAATGCAGGGGATCCAAGACATCCGGCTGACATGATGGGAATGGATGGTTTATGGCTGTTTTTCTATGGTCCCAATTAGGCACTTCCCTACTGAACCATGGTTTCAAAGTGGGTGTTTAATAGGGGGAAGGGATTATTAGATTCCCTCTGGTAAACTAACATAGCTATTGCAAATGGCCGTTTATAGTGAGTTTTCCCATTAAAAATGGTGATTTTCCATAGCTATGTTAAATTACCAGAGGGTAGAACATCTGTTTTTAGCTTGAAAAGTCGGCCGCCCAAGCTACAGATTAAGAACTGGTCGTCCAGTTCTCTTGGTTTGTGCTGATATCAGCATTTCGTGATGTGGAAATCGTTAGGAAACCATATTGGGTAGCCGAAAAAAACAACGCAAGTACTCTTGCTCAAAATCTGGCTTCTTGTTGCTTGAATCCAAACGGTTGGTAGTGATATCCCCATGTTTGGTTGTTACCGTAAAGTCCTTAGTTCTATCCCATCCATGTTGTATAGATCACTGAAATCGACAATGTATTCTTTATCTAATATTGTAATAGTGCAATTCCCTCTAACATGAGTCACACCCCCATGACTCCCAATTTATGATTACTCTCTGGTAAATTAACATAGACCCTGAAAATAGCCTAGTTTTAATGGAAACTAATCTTCCAACCCCTATCTGCCAGGGTCTATGTTAATTTACCAGAGGGTAGATCCATTACTATCCATTACTAATATACGGATGAGGCTTCAGCTTGGCTGACACCAGGTGACTACACCGGAGGTTTTGACTGCCACGGCGGAAGCTGCCATTGCTGGGAACTTGGGGGTCTTGTGGGTGGCTCTTCAGCTTTGGGAACCAGAAGTCTTGGGAATATAATATAGCCACAACATACATCTATAATCATCTTATAGAATCATGGGGCTAGATCATCTATTATAGAATCTATAATCATAAGCCACTATAGTCATCTTTATAGATAGATCATGGATATCTGGCAATTTCTGATGCCAATTTCCATAGGGATTCTTGTTGGATATAGTGATCCGGGATTCTGAAGAGCCAAGTCCTTCGCACCCTGTCAAGCCAACTACAGTATATATTTTTGTTTTGCCAGCCATTTTCATCATTTTCCACAATGGCACCATGTTCCACTCAAATCTTGATGTGTTTACAAAAAAAACATTGATGCCGTTGTTTGTCCGATCAGGAGATTTCTTTTTTGCTTCCAAGTGTGTATATCTATCTATCTATCGATATATATATATATATAGGTGTCTGTAGTCTATTATATAGGTGTCTTTTCTTGTTTGATTCTACTCTCTTCGCGAGACCCTTCGATTATATATAGGTGTTCCATGATGCCATTCAGTATTGTCTTCAAAATTAACCCGTATGTCATATTCTTGTGTTTGGGCATTTGGGGTCAAAGCGTGAGCGAATCACGCGCTTGCAACAAAGGCTCATGTGATGCAGACCAGCTGTGGCAAGGGACAGTGTTGATGTACTTTGCATTGGTAACAATTGACATCTCATAGATCCGTCTAGTGTAGAATCTCCCTGAAATGCTAATCCTGCTAAATCCATGAGTGTTGCGACTATAAGCCATGTATTTCCTGCATCTGGGGGTCTGAATCCGGTGGTTCCTTTGAGTTGGAAAAGCTTTGTCTCAAGCCAAGCTAAAACATCCGATGAAACAAAACAGATAGATACACACAACATTCACTAAGGGTGTTTTTTGCAGGAAACCCTCAACAAACATTGGTAAACAATGAAAATAGACAACATGGTTTCTTTTTTGATGTTCCTAAGAAAATGGATCCAAGAAACACGGTGAAACATGCGGAGAGACTGGGTCGAAAAATCCATATCCGACTTCCTGGCCGACGTGCTGCCTGCCGGCCATGCAAAAATCCAAAAGGCCTTGATGCGCAGGCGCAGATGGGGCTGCTAAGCCCATGGTCGATATACCTTGCTGGTTGGTGGTTTCAAACATGGCTGGATTATTTTCCATTTCATATATGGGATGTCATCCTTCCCATGGACGAACTCATATTTTTCAGAGGGGTAGGTCAACCACCAACCAGCTTGGGTAAGAACGTAGCATAATTTTCACCGCCAACAATAGGTAATGATATGATAAATCCAAGCCAGAATAGCAATGTGAATGTCTACTCCCTCCAATCCAAGCGAACAAATGACAAAAAAGGCTTTAACCACCAATGTATGGGGATATTAAAAATAAATCCAATGAACAACACCTTTTTTTGGTAAGCTAAAATTAGCCGCTGAACCCGCAGTAAGTAGTTTGTGGTATCAGTTATATACCAAATTTTACATCCCATTTTGTGGATTATTACATCCAAATGAGTTCTGTTTGCTTTATAAAAAAATATAAACCCATGGATACTATGTGTTTTTTTTCACCAATAAAAACCTGGATCGCCAATTTACTATGGTCCATCCAGGAAGCAAATAATGGCCCCACACCCTACACGATGCCCCCCAATTCCAAGTTGATTTAGAAAGTCATCGAACTGTATATAATAAAAACAAATACATATAGTTGTTTTGATTATAGTAAAAATAAATAAATATAGTTGTTTTGATCATATGTTCTTTTGTTTGCTTAGCCACCATAAATACCAGTTAAGATGATTACAAAGCAACTTTGCTAACTAGAGGACCCCTTCCTGGTGATGAAATGTCGCAGCTCACACAGAGTGGATTGCAGCTGGGTAGCTCCAAAGAAACATACCCAGACCCAGCTGGGTACTACCATTGAAATGGCCATTCTACCTTAACCTTGCAGTATATCTTTACGTATTTATGTATATATATATATTCAACAGTATTTTGCAATATGTGTTTATCTTGGTCATGCATCCAAATATTTTGGAATTTCCATATATATATATGATATATATATATATATACATATATATATGATAAATATATATATACACATCTATATATATATACATGATATATATATATACATATATCTAAACATACTAAGAATCGATGTGTTTTTGTTGCTGCTAAGATTTGGCCACAATTCCCTGAGAGGTTCTGTGCAGCTTATCTTCTGCCATTGCTGGAAATCCCCACAACTTCCTCGTTGGCATGGCTCGTGCTAGTCTTGGACTTGGCGCCTGGACCATACATGACACGGAACCATAGGCCGTGGACAAATCATGTGTCAGGTAGGATGAAAAAGAGAAAACACATCCCAAACTGTCAATTAAACTGTCATATTAAACTGTTTTTGTGGGCGTTATTTGAACAATCATATCCCAAAATGACAATTTGATGTAGGAAAATGATGATCAAACGTGAGATTCTAGGGTACAATTTTTCAGGAGACAGATGCACATGATTGTTTTTCGATGGTGACTCCCAAACAGATTTACCAAAAAGTCATGCGTGGACTGGACCTGCAACGGGCCAAGGGCTGTGTTTTTTTTGTATTCCTGATGAGTTTGTGAAGCCAGATGGGACATGGGGCAGCCAGATCCTATGTTAAATAGTAGTGATATCATGGTATATACATGTATACATTATATTATATATAACATTTATACTCATCCTTTTTGGGCTGTTTATTGAGTCTTAAGTTATGTTTTACGAGACATCCTGCTCATAAAAACCCTTTGACGAAACCTGAGGTATTGACAGCTTTGATCATTTGGAAAGTGCCCTTCACCAATGTGGATTGGGAAGCCTACATGGCCGAGGCTTGGAGCATCTTGGAGCCGGGGGTTGTGTTTTTTTTTTACAGGCCGGTGAGAATGGTTCAGGGGTGGGTAACTGTCCCATTTTTGGGATATTGGACACCACCCTTTAATGGCCATTATAGATGATACACCTCATGGTTGGGTGATGTTCAATTGGGACGTTTAATGACCCATGGAATGGTTGCTGAGTTGCTGTTGGATGACCAATTTTTATATCAGAAATGACCTTTTGTTGATGGAAGATATGAAGATATGCCTTGGAGTATGATACATTTCAGGGGCGACTGAGCAAGATGAACCTACAGGTTCTACAGTTATGGCCCGACTAACAGTTACAACTGTTTTTTTAAATATATATATATATATATGTATATAACCAACTAGTTATATGAGTCAGTTCATCCCATTTATAACTGTTAGTACCAGTTCTAAGTACTAACACAACTCCATTTATAGAATGTATAATCCCATTTATAGCGAGTTATAACTAATAAATGACCATAACTATAAAGGCGTTGAAAAACATCACGTCCTCACGTCCTGCACGCCGGCCCGAGAGGTGGATGCGGTTCTGCGCGGAGAGAAGCTTGGCGAGCCAACACTCGCTTCGTGGTGTTTTGAGGGGGAAAAAACCATGGGTTAATATTGATTAATAGTGACTAATAGGGGAACTTAAGCATCAACAATAGGGGAACTTAACCATCAGCAATAGGGATTTTGATGGGATTTAGAAAATGGGGATATGGATGGATATGGAGCTTTAGGGCAATCTGAGATGTGTAGAAACGCATCCCAGATAGTCTTTTGGTATGGGATTATCTACTTACTCACCAGCAAAGAATCGTTCATTTTTTGCAGGGTATCTGGCTGATTGGCCATGCCATGATCATATACGTAGATCCATAAAAATTGACCCATAAGAATTGCTACTCACTCCATTGTTTTACCATTGATTTACCATTGATTTACCACGTTTTACCAAACTTTGACCAATTTTCAGGGGTCAACTGAGAGTCACAGAACCCAAGTCATTCGACCAAGCAACTCGGGCTCCGTTGGCGTCAGAACCCACCAGCCGTTTCCAGTGTGGCATTGTAGGGCAATGGTCGGAACTGACTTGAAGCAATGGTCGGGTAAACCATCAAAAACGCGGATGATTAGACCAATGAAGAATGGATTGAGTGGATACCTGGATTCTTTTAAGGGAAATATATGGACATATTACGAAATCCGGCCCATTTTGAGATCTCTGTCTGACAATATGCCCGGTCCACAATCCCAGACTTCCAAACCGCAACTCGGACGGTCCACCGGTCCACCGATTCCAAAGCGAGGTTTGACTATCGCAACATTTCTGGCCCCACTGGACCCATTGCATATCCTGCCGGCTTTTGTTGGTACCGTGGCACAAAAAGGGCACGGCGGGTCCGGTCATTCCATGGTGGCCGGTGGCGTTACCGATGACTCGGTATATGTAGAATGTGAGGCCCCAGTGATGTGAACGTTGGTTTATATATAAGCCCCAGTAACTAGTTCGTTATGAGTACCATAAACCATAGTTAAATTGGAGTTGCACCAACTTAGCTATCGAACGGGGGCCTCACGTTGTAGAATTCAGGGGTGTGTTACATCGAAAAATGGTGGTTGAATCTCATTGTTTACTTCATTGGATTGGTTCAAAGGGAACTTTGACAGGAAGACTCCATATTTTTTTGGGGGGGAAAAAACATGGTATCCGGTGAAGATTTTCCCTTAAACCAACCCATTGTTTCAGTTGAATACCTCTGTTTGAACTCCGATGTCTTCAGCGCTCCCCTCTTCAGCGCTCTGTTATTAGTTTTGTGGGGATGGGTCAAAACCGATTATAGCAATGGTATAGATGGTCCTAATCGAAATAGATGGTTTACCGTTCTTAAACATGGTGAATCTTTCCATGGCTATGTTAGTCATAACCAGAGGGTATATATATATAAAGTGGGAATAGAACCAAGAATATGTCATGTCATCCCCCAAACCATAGTTTATTACCATATGTGGGGGAAAAGTAAGTCCCATCCATTCAGCTATGACTTAGTCCCGGGTACCATGATGATCAACCCCTCCCGGTACTTCAACCATCTTCAAGCCGAAGATCGAGGTTCTACGGCGCTTTCAAGCAACTGAATTTGGACCTGACGACTGTACAGGTGCGCGGCGCTTCTCTTGTGACCTCCAAAATCGATAGAAATTGTGTTGCAAAAAATGATGAAAAAACGTCATGGGAAACACCAGAGAAAATCATCTATATAACATTCTATAACATCCCGGAAAACAAGAAACAACATTCTTTTGCGTTGACCCCATGAATATCACAGACTTGTCAGATCTTGTCAGTGACGTAGCAAATTCAGTTGATTGGCAAATGAGCGGTGGATACAGAAGAATTGTTTCCATGGCGGCTGTTGACAAATGTCTGGCATGGGGCCATTTGTCAGGTCATATTTGCTGGCTTTTCACTGGCAAACATGGTTATACTGATGAAGTTGCTTTGCTGCAAAACTTAGATCTGCAAGAAAATGATCCACAAATAGAGAGAAGAAAGTCGCACATCATTGTGGGCACTTACTGAAATGAAGTAGTCAGCTCCCATGTTAGGCCCTTCACCCTGTTACTCCGAGGATCTACCAATTGGCAAAGACACCATTGTGGGTTTTCGCCTTGTGCATTTTGTCAAAGCGATGTCACTCAGTCTCCTGGTATGTCAAAACGTGCGAGCTGGATTTCTTTTCAGATCGTTTCAGTGGCTTTGGTGAGTAGGTAAGATAACCTTCAAATAGAAATAAAACAACAAAATGACGATGGCAATACTCCAAATTCCACTGGTCACTGGTCCAGATGCGGCATTCCTCTAGGTTTGGAAATCAAAGTTGATTTGGATACCTGATGCCACACATTTTACCTACATGATGAAACATATATTATCACCTGGTTCTATGTAGTAATTTGGGGTATATAATTATATATATATACATACAGTATATCTAAGGAAAGAAATAGTATAACATTATATAATTAATATAAATATACTGTGTATATATATATATATAAATCTTGTTGCTTGGTGGGTTTGCACATTTATGTCAGTCCATTTTATTTCCATGATACCTGCCATGATGCTCTCACTTGTTCAAGATATTCTGGGAATGGGTAGCTGAACTACCAAGAAATCTACATTCAGGTGTCCCTAAAACTACTTAGTCAAACACTTACTTAAGGTATGTTAAACCCATCAATTAACTAATTATTTGGGATTATGAATCAATATGAATTATCAAAAATTACGAAACCACTAATTTCAATATATATATATATACATATAGTTTTCGCTTGATATTACAGAAACCAATCAACAGGGGTCTTTTGTTCATGCCTCTTATCCGAGATCTTCGTGCTTCGACTCTTCAATGACGCCATCGCGCAAGTTTTCTGCCATGGGGCTCTGCTGTTGATGCTTCAAGGTAGGTGTGACCTTGGGGCCTGTGGTTAGCCCTGGTTTCGTTTCCCTCATTGATGAGATGGTAGACTTTCCGGATGGTGCCCGAGTGATGTGAACGTTGGTTTATAAACCCCATTAATACTATATATCTACCATAAAGCATAGTTAACCAAGTTATAAGTCAACTTAGCTAACTATGGGGCATTACCTTGTATAGCTATGTAAACGTTTTTTTGCAGGCTAAAGGACCTTGCGCGGAGACTTGAGCTTTGATCCATGAAATGACGCACACAAGTTTTGGGCCTGCGCCACATCACCCTGCGCTGCCCGTTGATAGGTCGTTATCGAGCATCATCCTTGAGCTATTCCTTGGCAGTGCCTGGGTTGGTGATGCGAGTGGTGATGGGATACTTGGGGGCAGAGGTGAAACTTTGATATGACCATGGTGAACTAAAGCCCCATGTTTGTTGGGATTAGAGCCTTGTAACTTTAGTGAAATCTATGGAACATGGTGATTTCTATGGATTTTCCATCTGGTAAACGTGTACATAGCTATGGAAAATCACCATTTCTAGTAGGTAAATCATGGTGTCCCTAAATGGTCCCAAAATTCCATAGCTATCTTAAATTGCCAGGGGGTAATTTTCTATAACCATGGTGAACTGAAGCCCCATGTTTTTTGGGATGATAAGACTCGAGTATGTCTGCGATAGTTGATGGGATGCACTTCATGTAGCTAGCTTCAAGGATTATTCTCGCAATGAATAATATGATCAACCCTTTATTATGATCAAGGCTTTATATAACGTTCTTATATACTCGCACAATAATATCTGTTGATAAAGGGTTGATCATTTGTGCTGCGAGACGTTCTCAGATAACGAAGGGTGTCTTTGCTTGACATAGCTGACATGCTCAGATGACATCAATGAACATGGGAATCCAAGTGCAAGACCCTCTGAAATGGATATACGTTTAATCGGAATTTCATCCGGTGTGTGGTTTCTATATTATGATGTTAAACAAAAAACACATGTTTTGTACTCAAGCTGGATAAGTTGTATTTTCTCTCCATTCCTGCCTTCGTTATGATGATCTCTGACCGGTCGTTGCGTTTTCTCATCGACCTTCCTTCACTGGGCCCAGCACGGCCCCTGGGCTCTTCAGCGATGACCACAGCACGCCGCTGCGCCAAAAACGAGGTGAGTGTCAAGATGCAGCCGCTGCTGGTGTGTCCAGTGGTGCCGAGATATGGAGATTTGGTGGCGGAATTGGGGACTTAGCTGACCTGGTTGGGGATGTGAAACCAAACACAGTGAGGTAACAATCTGGTTGGTGCTTTGGAACATGGCTGGATTATGACTTTCCATATATATATATAATATTATATATACATATATTGGGAAGTTCATAATCCCAACTGACTACTTGTTTTATATGTTTCAGAGGGGTAGGTCAACCACCAACCAGTAATTATTGGATGATCTTCATTTACCAATTCGCCACATTTAAAAGTTGGATATTCCCATGACATATCCCCAACCAGATACCCATAATAATTTGTGGAATGTGTGTGGCTTCAAGCTTCATGGATTTATTCTGAGCCAGACTTCATGGGATGAACTTAATCGCAAGACTGGAGACGTCCTTGGGATCCAAGCGTGACCGGTGACCCTTCAAAGCATGTTGAGTCAGGCTTAGCTTAAGGGCTTACCCAACCTGGTTATGTCAACAGTTAGCTATTGAAAATGGCCCAGTCGAAATAGTTGATTTACCGAACTGAAACATTGTGATTTTCCATGTAAACGTTTACCAGAGGGTAGTATACGGCCTCATTCACCACAAACTTACTTGTGCTAAACGTAGGGAATGAGGGAATGATCCACTGGCTAACTATCAATAATCATCCCAGCAACCCCCAGCAACCCATCCATTCCCTACGTAAAACGCACCAGTAAGCAAGTTCAGCAAGTTTGTAAGGGAGCATCTCAACTCTCAACCATCTACTCTTGTCACAAAACACTGTAAATACTAAATACCCGTATTTTTTCAGCACTTTTAGTCCAAAAAAATCACTCCCCCAGGGGCCGTTCTGCGATTTTTGGGGGGACGCCGGGGACGCCCTCGTGGGGGGATGGTTGAATCCCAACCAAGATCGCCATCGGATGGCGATGAAAAACGGGTACCTTAAATCTGGTTGGTGGTTTGGAACATGTTTTATGTTCCATAATATATGGGATAATCCTTCCCATTGACTAATATTATAGTTTATTATTCCATATATTGGGAAGTTCATAATCCCAACTGACTTTCATATTTTTCAGAGGGGTGAAGTACTGTTTCTGCGGCTCTTGACCAATGGTACCACGTAACAAGTTACTCTGCCACCTCTGCTGTGCTATGTTTTGTGTGTGCTCAGGTGGGCCTTTCTTTGGTGCTACACGGCTGGCGGCGAGCCATCTCGTGTGATTTGGCAGATGGGACAGAGTGCAGCACCATGCAGTGTTCGTGAAAGCTACATATGGGTTTGCGTATGAAGGTGAATGAACGGGATAGTAGACAGCAAATAGAGCAAAGTCACTACTAGAAAATACGACCTATGAGTCCACACGAATCAATGCAACGGGTGTTTTGTATAGTTCGGAGCCTCCAAACCGGACCTGTTTGAACAACCTGATCAGCCTGGCAGATGCCGGATAGTTCAGCCTTTTCAACCCGGTCATGAGTAAGTCTTTCAATAACAATTTGATAGTCAGCTGGTTTGAGTCTTTGGTTTAAAATAGAAAAGGTATACAAGTCAAGGTTGAAGATGGTGAAGATGGAATAAGGTAAACCATGATAAATTTAGCACAGGGGATTTACATCCATTGGGTGGTTGCTCATCTTCTGTTGCGGGGCAAAGACGCTCCTACAGCTAAGCCACACATGTCTATTTGCGGTTGATGGTCCCTCCTTCCCATGTTGATCCCTCCAAATTGTATAGGTCTCTGGGACGAGTCGATTGCTTTTTGGGAATCATCCCCTTTTGTAGGTAAAAAAAGATAACCATGGCATACCATGGCCATGGTTCCACTGAGGCAAGCCCATTTGAAAGTGGTTGAACCATGACGATTGCGATGAACATAGGACCCGAGTCACTGCGAAGCAGAAAATTCCGCTCAAGACCTCAGTATTTGGTTCAGAATGTCACCCTCACAAACATCCAAAGTGATAACTTCGCCTTTGAAGAAGCAGATGTGCCATCGGGACAACCGCTCATTGCTGACGTCATCAAGCAGCTGGTCCGGAGAGGAGGCCCACCCAGGGCCGAGCAAATGATGCTTTTGGTGAAGAACTGTGCATCAGGCTACTCTGCCTCAGGCCGAGGTTGCAGCTTCTCGACTTTGGTTGGGTATGCTGTAACAATGGCTCGCCTCACGATGGCATGGATTGAACCAGATCCTGGAGAAGGTGAAGGATTTATCCCACAGGATCTTTTCGACGTTTGGACAGTTGGAGTCCCCTGGCTCCAGATGGTGGGGAATGCAGTGTATTGGAGATCGCAGTTGGTGGCGGCCAACTCAGATTGGTTTCACAGCTCAGGCTTGCCGTCACAAGCACAGGGGAGAATCTTCTTTCCCTTCCCGATTTCAGACACTGATGATCAAGCGGCTCCAAACATGCTGAGACCACTAGTGGAAGATATTTTCACTTTAGGCACTTAATGGAAATATTAGTACTTATTTGAACTTATCATAGAACTTATTTTAACTTATTTTTACTTATTTTTACTTATTTTCATTTATTTTCACTTATTTTGTTTTTATATGTTTAAAGGATGATTCCTGGAAAGAACATGTCCTGAACAGGACACTTTCTGTTATGGATATGTTGGTTGCATGTTACTTCCTAGATATTAAAAAATAATTTTCCCAAAAAAAGGAATTTTTAGATTGTTATAGATTCTATGTATTCTATAGCAATTATGACTTCTGTTTGCCTTGAAAAAAATAAATAAAAGTTTTTGAAATTTCTGTATTTTTTGAATTTTCTGTATTTTCTGAATTTTCTGATTTTTTTGATTTTTTTGCATTTTCTGAATTTTCTGAATTTTCTGAATTCTTTATTTAAATATATATATATATATCTATATATGTAATTCTGAATTTTCTGAATTTCTGAATTTTCTGAATTCTTTATATTTGAATATATATATATATATAATTCTGAATTTTCTAAATTTTCTGAATTCTCTGAATTTTCTGACTTTTCTGTTTTTTTTACATTTCTGAATTTTCTGAATTTTCTGGATTTTCTGTTTTTTCCCCACCTGCCAGGTGAAGGTTGTTAGATTTTATGTCAGTTGCCTCCTCCTCCTCCTCCTTCTCCTCCTTCTCCTCCTCCTTCTCCTCCTCCTCCTCGTCCTCCTCTCCTCCTCCTCGTCGTCCTCGTCGTCCTCGTCGTCCTTGCTCAACTGCGACCCGCGATCCACAGTGTTCTCTGCCGGACCTCAACCACGACCATCCACGCCCAGTGTTCCCTGCCGGACCTCAACCACGACCATCCACGCCCAATGTTCCCTGCCGGACCTCAACTACGACCATCCTCGCCCAGTGTTCCCTGCCGGACCTCAACCACGACCATCCACGCCCAGTGTTCCCTGCCGGACCTCAACCGCGAGTATCCACGCCAAGTGTTCCCTGCCGGACCTCATGTAGGAAGATATGGGACAAAGAATGTGCAGAAGAAAGTTAGAAAGAATGTCAGAAAGAATGTCAGAAGATATGCCAGAAGATATGCCAGAAGATATGCCAGATAGAATGCCAGATAATATGCCAGAAGATATGCCAGATAGAATGCCAGATAGAATGCCAGAAGATTTGCCAGATAGAATGCCAGAAAATATGCCAGAAAATATGCCAGATAGATATGTCAGAAGATATGCCAGAAGATATGCCAGAAGATATGCCAGAAGATATGTCAGAATATATGCCAGAAGATATGTCAGATAGAATGCCAGAAGATATGTCAGAATATATGCCGGAAGATATGCCAGATAGAATGCCAGAAGATATGTCAGATAGAGTGCCAGAAGATATGCCAGATAGAATGCCAGAAGATTTGCCAGATAGAATGCCAGAAGATATGCCAGAAGATATGCCAGATCACATGCCAGAAGATATGCCAGATAGAATGTCAAATAGAATGTCAGAAGATATGTCAGATAGAATGCCAGAAGATTTGCCAGTAAGAAAATGTATAAATGTCATGGTGGGGATCACACGAAGTAAAGTAATTTTTGTTTTTTTTTTGCATTTTCTGATTTTTTGAATTTATAGAATCTTAGCAAGTGGGGAACCATCCCCAAATCTTCTCATTTCAGGTTGGTGAACTACCCTCCGGTAATCAAACGTGGCTGGCTGGAAATCCACTAGAAATGGAGGTTTCAATAGGAAAATCACATAAATATAGTGTATTTTCCAGCACGCCATGTTTGATTACCGGAGGGTAATACAATTCAGCCAGATGTTTGGAGGTTTCAGCCCCGCTTCGAACAAAAAATGTGGCCTACCGTACGGCCTACCTTCCCAGGTATCACCACCATGTTGGCTCTGCAGATCTTTCTGGCCTTGCCCTTTCTACAGGCTGGGATATGATACGCATTGATATGCATTGATATGCGACAGGAGTGGGAGGGAATGGAATGAAGCGCCTGTGAGACATGAAAAAGGACTGGCTGGTGGTTTCATACTGTTTATTGTCCATCCCGTATCATGTTTCAGGCTGGGGTTGAAACCACAAACCAGGATTCAAATCATATATACCTTGTTGGTCATCGTCTTGAACACATTTATTTCTCAAGACTTCATATGTACATGTATGTATATAGCATTATTTGCTGTGTATGATTGTATGTGTATATATATATATATTATAATGTTATATGCAATATATGTGTGACCCATTGCATCCGCATAGAGCATTCGCTCAAAGGAGGGGCCGAGCATGCCGCATATGCTCCGAGCCTGCTCCGCAACTCAGGCCAATGCTCCAGCCTATCTACGATATGCCTTTGGAGGCGGGTGAAGTCTTCAGAGCTAAGGGTGATTTCCCGAGATTGATTCTGATGGATTATGATCATTTATGCCATCCATTTATACTGGGGATTATTATCATACTAAATCATACTAAGATAATGAGGATAATGATGGTACAAAGCATTCAATGGGTGGGATTTAATGGGATATTCATGTGAATACTGGTCACTCCACGAAGAAACGACATCTTGTTAGTGGCACTGTGGGGTTAGGCACCCACTTTATTTTTCAGGGCATAAGCCAGGAATCGAGGACTTATTAGGGTTATTGACCAGTTACGATCCGGGAAAGTCTGTACTTCTGTACTTCTGTACTTCCTGGGACCTCGGTTTCAGATGTCTAAGCCCTGAGATTCAATTAAAGCTTACACCCTGCAACAGACGAAAATCTGAAATATTGCCATGATTCCAAGATCTTCGAAGTCAGAAAGCCACCGGTCATAACCGGGGCAGTAATTAATCGCCTGTGGCACCTCGAGGATGATTTTCATGGGTCCTAGCCATGACTTAAAAAACCTCCAGCAGGTTGGGAAGCCCGGGAAAAACTATGGCTATATTAATTCACTGAATGTTCACTTAGTTCACTTGAACATTCCTCAAGTTATTGGCTGAGATGTGGCAAACGAAACTTAAAGAAAGACGCTTCCACTTCCACTGCTTTTTGCTTCCAATTGTTCATACTGGAAATGGGTCTGTGAAAATGGAGGATACTTCAAATTGCCCTGGAACATGGGGAAGCAATGAGCATGAACCATGAAATTTGATGGTTTTCCCGCAGTTTTCAGACAAAGCTCAGGAATGAGGACGTAGTCCTTTTCCCATTGGTTGGTTGATAACCAATAGGTATAGATGATAGTTAATATAAATAAGTGTGTCCCTCTGGTTCCGCAATGTGAGTCCGAGTGACTGGTCGGTGCTTCACTGGGAAGGAAGCCCATATGGCCGTACTTTACCTTTTCTTTTAGACTCGTAGCGCTCAAGTGGCAAATCTTGTAGGCAGGGGCCCTGGGGTGCCTTTTGTACCTGCTCATCATTGCCCGAAGCCACAGTTGAGACACTTCAGAGGAGCTGAAGCCGCTACAAAAACACTCGCTGCGGCGCTGCGGCTTTGATTGTCAAGTGCAGCGTTGAACTGGGAGTGGGTTTTGCTGCATCAGTCACTCAAATTGTGATCGGAACCGTTGGTAGCTGATTGACGGAGGCGAAGGTCTGAGTTTACCTTGGTTAAACTAATATGATTCTATGATAGTCTTTGATGATTAATGATGATTTGATATGATATGATGATATGATGTGATGTGATATGATATGATTCTGTTATGATTATTATATGTTTTCTTTCTTATATGATAGCTAAATGATTCAATATGATTCATCAAATGTATGTCGTTTATGTTTGGTATACGGGGCTAAGTGGGGGGTACCTATAGAGCATGGCTCTTGAACCATGATAATTAATATATATATATATATTAATATATTAATATATTAATATATATATATATATATTATTAATATATATATATACCTCACCGGCCCCGCAACATTCCTAAGACGACTTAAAACGAGCACATTTCCCAGAATTCTTTCCAGAGAAAATCTACAGGAGTTTCCTCCGTTGGTTCATGGTAAAATCCCATGGTAAAACCGGTTTCAATTTTCCCACCTGAACCGGATTGAACCAATATTGATTGATCCTCTAAATCCATTCTTCATTGGCTTAACAATCCATTTTTTTCATGGTTAAATCAGTTGAAATCCACTAGTGATTGACTCATATTGACCCCAGTTCAGCTAGCTATGTGGGGCCATATAAGTTATTGGGGCCCCATATCCCAACTTCAGGAGCTTAGAATCCCATATCAATGGCCATTCCAGGATCCGATTGATTGGAGGTACCTACCATATTTAAGGCCTATGTATATAAGGCCTATGTTTCCGGGAATATCCCCAGCAAAATATGGCCCCATTGACCATAGTTGTACCCATGTTTGTTTCATTGTTTTTCCTACCATAGTTTTACAACCCATTCAACATAGTTGAACCATAGTTGTACTACCATAGTTTAACAATCCATTTTCTTTTACCACCAATCAGTTTAAACCCCACATTAAGGAGTTTACTATATACCATAATCATAGTTGTACCCATTGGTTTCATGGAATAAAATCCCCTATGGATCCAGAAAGGTACCTTTTTGGGAAGTACCTTCCTGGGGTATGATGACTAGGGGATATGATGTAGCTTCTCAGTGTTTGGATCCACAGGCTTTAGTAACTTTAATCTGTTGCTATGAATTGGATTTTTTGACAGGTATCTAAGATTGGCCATGAGAAATAACAGTGGAGTTTTTAAGGGGTAATCCATGGCTAATGAATTCCAAGTGATATAAAATGTCACTGAGAAATAACAGTGGGGTTTATGTTTCCTGTTCATGTTATAAGTTATAAATTACAAGAATGGCCGTTAAATCCACCGTGTTTTTTTCCCTAAAAAGGACCCAGTCCGTCCTTGAGCCAGGTCCAGGTGCCTTGCAGCAACTTGGTAAGACATGGCAAGGGAGCAACGGGCCAGAGGGCTCATGGCACCTTTCTAACGTTAATGGGATTTAATGAGATTTAATAGGACTGGGATGTGGGATTTAATTGGGTTTCAAGACGTTTAATGGGATTTAACGAGATTTAATGGGACTGGGATGTGGGATTTAATGGGATTTGATAGAACTGTGTAGGACTTGGTCCCCTGATCGTTAATGGAATTTATATCATGGAATTTAATAGGACTTGATGGGATGGAAAATCGGACGGGGATGTGATGACATTTTGTGGAATTGGGATTTCATGGCATTGGAAATTCCATGGAAAAGCATAGGAATACTGGTGATTTACCCTCTGGTAAACGTTTACATAACTATGGAAAATCACCATTTTTAATGGGAAAACTCACTATTTCAATGGCCATGTTCAATAGCAAACTATTAGTTTACCAGAGCGTAATGGAATTTGCCCTGGGGTAAACGTATAAAAAAGGTATGTGGAAAACATCAATGATTTCCCGGGCCACATGATCTACAGGGTGGGCTGCCCACATCCCAGGGTTACGGGAAACAATAAAGGGTCGCTTAAATTGACATGAGTAGATCCATATACTGGTTGGTGGTTTGGAACTTTTTTTTCCCCCAATAGTTGGGATGATGATCCAATCATCCAATCTGACTTTCATATTTTTCAGAGGGATTAAAACCACCAAGCAGGATTCAATATGGTCCAATATTTCACTACAGTTTCCGACAGTGTGTTTAATATGATGGATTACCAACTATCTAGTCTTTTGTTTTTTGTCAAGAACGAGTAACATTTCTTTAAAGATCCCCAATTTTTTTGGATGTGTATTAATCCACTTGATTCTTTTGGTATTTGCCACAAAACTTGGATGCTGTATCACAACCAACAATATGGGGGTTGATCAAACAAAAAAATGGTACCATAAAGTCCAGTTCTTCAAACCTCGTTTTCCCATGAACATTGCAATTTGGGGTACAGTATTGAACCCGAATCACAATAAATCTTGGGACCACGAAGTGAAGAGATTTACTGCTAAATCAGGGCCTTTGATGTGGATTTTGCATCAATTGGAGTAGCCACATAGACTGAACATCATCCAACCATAGGCACATTGGAACCTATCAAATTATGTATACCATTTGAAGGTCATGTTCAATATCGCAAACATGGGACATGTAGCAACGCCCTTGGAGATACTTAACGGGTGGATATGCGTGTTTCTTTGCAAATTTGGGTTTGACCAGTCAGCACCGAACAGATGTGACATCAATAGCAATGCTTAGCAGATGAACCATGAGGGAAATATGCCACTTGGTGGCTCATCCCACTTAGTAAGTGGGTTATAACCCCAATTATAAGTGGATTAACCCTACTTATCCCATTTATAACTGGGGTTATAACCCACTTACGAGCCGTGGTATGAGCCACCAAGCACACACATGCCAACATCATTTCTGGTATAGAAAGAACATAGGGCCTTAGGGCGATCCTCAGGGGAATACTGTAGCACTAGCAATGGACAGTCACCCATATTTACCCTCTGGTAAACTAGGTCCACCGCTCATAGGCGGCCGTGGTGTAAAATAGCATTTTCAATGATTCAATGTTGTTTGAATCACGCAATTCCACTGCGTTTAAGGGACAGTCTTTGATTTCACATGTTTCATGCGTAGTTCCATTGGGGAAAATATTGTCATGATAGAAACCAGTGTAACTGCGGGCAAAATATTCTATTTGTTTTGCCCGCAACTAAGGACTCCATTCATCTTTCGTGCATCATCACCATCACCATCACCATCATCATCATCACCACCACCATCATCATCATCATCAGCAGCATTGCCACCACCACCATCATCATCATCATCATCAGCAGCAGCAGCAGCAGCAGCATTGCCAACATCATCATCATCATCATCATCATTATCATCATCATCATTATCATCATCATCATCATCATCATCATCATCATCATCATCAGCATTGCCATCATCATCATCATCATTATCATCATCATCATCAGCAGCAGCAGCATTGCCAACATCATCATCATCATCATCATCATCATCATCATCATCATCATCATCATCAGCAGCATTGCAACCATCATCATCATCATCATCATCATCATCATCAGCATTGCCATCATCATCATCATCATTATCATCATCATCATCACCATCATCATCATCATCATCATATTTTTCTTACGCCATGTTCGGTATGCATGGCCAATGGGGACCGTCCGTGCTCACCTTCACTTTTCCGATTGGCGCTCAATTCGACTTCAGCAGTCTGCGGAGTTGAGACATAAATCCTTGAGGTTTCAATGGTGAGACGCTTTGTCTAAAGACAAATTGGAAAATTAATTTGTCGTAACACAAGCGTAAAATGGAAATCAACGTTTATAACATATATTATCAGAAAACCCCCCCAGAGACTTTCTAATACATATCCAACAATATAGATATGAAATGCGTCGGAAGTTCTAGGAAGAAAGTTCATAACGTAGCATCAAGAGCGTCTGCAGTTCTAGCAAGAAAGTTCACAACGTAGCATCAAGGGCGTCTGCAGTTCTAGCAAGAAAGTTCACAACGTAGCATCAAGAGCGTCTGAAGTTCTAGGAAGAAAGTTCACAACGTAGCATCAAGAGCGTCTGAAGTTCTAGGAAGAAAGTTCACAACGTAGCATCAAGAGCGTCTCTAGGAAGAAAGTTCACAACGTAGCATCAAGAGCGTCCGCAGTTCTAGCAAGAAAGTTCACAACGTAGCATAAAGAGCGTCTGAAGTTCTAGGAAGAAAGTTCACAACGTAGCATCAAGAGCGCCTCAAGTTCTAGGAAGAAAGTTCACAACGTAGCATCAAGAGCGTCTCAAGTTCTAGGAAAAAAGTTCCCAGCGTAGCATCAAGAGCGTCTGAAGTTCTAGGAAGAAAGTTCACAACGTAGCATCAAGAGCGTCTGCAGTTCTAGCAAGAAAGTTCACAACGTAGCATAAAGAGCGTCTGAAGTTCTAGGAAGAAAGTTCACAACGTAGCATCCAGAGCGTCCGAAGTTCTAGGAAGAACGTTCATAACGTAGCATCAAAGCACCGGAGTCAAAAAGAACACACGCGACAGAATGTTATTACGCCCCCCCCCCCCGAACCCCCCCCAAACCACCCCCCCACAAAAAAAAAGGAGAAAACAAGGTAGAAAAACGGACCATAGGCACAGCGAGAAACAGACAAAATGCTGCAAAAACAAATGCAAAACGACAAAAAAACAACAAAAACGCCACGGCCATTTGTGGGCGGTGGTCCAACTAACATACCTGTGGAAAATCACCATTTTTTTATGGGTAAATCATCTACAGTAACTAAATGGCAATTTTCAATAGCAAACTGTTAGTTTACCAAAGGGGTAGTATATGTCTTCCAGCGAGAACTGGAAATCTTTCATGGAGATCCCACAGAGATGTTTTTTTTAACATTTACCCCCTGAAAAATTGAACATAGTGAACTGGAAAATCCATCATTTTTGATGGGCAAATCATCGGAAAAAATGCAGAGAAAACCAGCTAATCTTGTTTTGAGACTGAAAAAGCCGGATGTTGGTTTTCCAGAGCTGCTGGGTCGCAGATGTTCCCCTTAGGGTAGTGCCAAAAACATGGTCGCGGTTTTCCCTGATCTGCCCGGGATTTGCTAAGTCGATTATATACGGTTGGTGGTGTCCCCCCAGTGATGTTTGTTGGTTTAGATTCGCCCCAGTAACTATAGTTATAAGTACATACAAGTACAATAAACCATAGTTATTGGAGTTATTTGCACCAACTTAGCTATCTTGGGGGCCTCACATTGTATGAATATAACCCCCATTCATCAACCCTAGATTAATTGGACTTATTTGCACCAACTTAGCTAACGAACTGGGGCACCACCTTGTACTGTTTCATTTTCCTAATTGGGAAATCCACTCCGACTGGAATATCTGTAGGGACTTTGTGATATTAAGGGGTTTCCATAGTCATGGTGGTACCCCAATGGCTGGATGGTTTATAATGGAAAATCCAACTAAAATGGATGATTTGGGGGTACCCCCATTTTAGGAAACCTCCATAATTTTTGCTGGTTCCTTCAGCAAATCCAAGTTCAACCCAGGCACGCTTGGTCCGTGAACTGGCAATTCCTGCCAGAGGCGATTTGGGTTTCGGAGCAGCTGTGCCATCCCATAACGAGGATGATATAAACAACAACATGGTGATATAGTGGGATTAATGGTGATATCATGGACATCACATATAAAGTTTGGATTGAATCACTATAAACATGTTTTTTTTCATGGTATATTAATGGGACTAGTTACTAAGTTTATGGGATATATTATTGATAATTAAATATATATATATATATGTACCCTCTGGTTATTTAACATAGCCATGGAAAATCACAATTTTTAATAGGTAAACCATCTATAAATGGGCCATTTTCCATGGCTATGTTAAATAACCAAATGGTATATAACCAAGTAGAATCAGACATTAGACTACACGGCCCACGGATTCCCGATGAATGGTGGGATGACCAGACCACCAGCACCATGGAGCCAGCTGGAGCCATCGGATGCCAGCGCGGCCACTGGTTGGGTGGCGCCACCAGATGCCACCGGCACTGGAGTACTTCGATGGGCCATGGGATGTTGCCGATTCCTGGTGGGTTTTTCTGGGGATTAACGATTACCTTCAAAAAATCCCCATGAAATAATCCATGGCTACTAACTAGTTAACTGTTACTCCATGGCCCATCTAAGTACACGTCTGAATTTCTTACGGCTCTGCGCTCCTTTCGCGCCATGGAGCTTCTGTTGAGGCTACCCTTGAACTTCCAGCTGACCCCAGGCCACAGTGACGCAGCTGCTCGCCGCACTGCGGCAGGCACAAACAAGTGGACCCGTTGGAGATCCTGATGGACGGCGCCCGAGTTCCTACAAAATTACGGGAATCCTTTGCTTCGGACCTTGCACTTCCATTTCTACTTGTGTGTTCATCATTGTTCTATAAAACTATGCAAAAAAAAACATGTCTACTCGTTTGTTCATCATTGTGCTACCAAAATCATCAAAACTCAAAAAATGCTGGTTGAAAACAGGTGCTAGCAGTTTGCATTATTCATTGCTACAAAAAAAATGGCTATCTTCTCATTTTGTGTCAGTGTGACCGCTAACAGCGATTCACAAGGATGGTCGATGGAGGCCAGCTCTTCCCAACATGTGGAGTCGTTTTACATCCCAAATGTATAGGGGTATACCCGAGTAATACACCTTAATTCAAGATGGGTTTAGCACAGTGGCTTTAGCATAAAAAAGGGACAATGCATGACAATGCCAAGAAATAATTAGTCACAGACAGTACCCCCAAGATTATCAACTTGTGTTTTCTTATAACTTTGGTGTTGACGTAGTAGTAGCAGTAGGTAGTAGTAGTAGTAGTAGTAGTAGTAGTAGTAGTAGTAGTAGTAGTAGTAGTAGTAGTAGTAGTAGTAGAGTAGTAGTAGAGTAGTAGCAGTAGTAGCAGTAGTAGCAGTAGTAGCAGTAGTAGCAGTAGTAGCAGTAGTAGCAGTAGTAGCAGTAGTAGCAGTAGTAGCAGTAGTAGCAGTAGTAGCAGTAGTAGCAGTAGTAGCAGTAGTAGCAGTAGTAGCAGCAGTAGCAGCAGTAGCAATAGTAGCAGTAGTAGCACTAGTAGCACTAGTAGCAGCAGCAACTGTTGTTATTGTTATTGTTGTTTGCGAGCTGAAGGGTCGATGTTCAATCAAACCAGCCTGCCAGGAATATTTCGCAAGTCCACGATTTGTTGTGCTGCTCCTTGTGGCCTCTTGGCGAATCAGGAAAAAAAAGGGCCCTGACAGCGTGACGGGGAAAAAAATACTACATCAATGTCACTTCTGAGCCACCTGTATGATTATATGAGTAACCGACAAAATTAGCCGAAGACTAAAGTAGTGGTTAGTGGGGAGTGGACATGGGATGTTCAAATTTGTGCGAACGCATTCACAACCGACAGGGGATCACCCCCCACATACCGATACCCTATTTGTGCACATAGCATGGAAGTACAAACCTTCACAACCGATAGGGGACCACCCACTTTGGCTATGTCCTTTGCGGGTAGTAAGTCATTGTGTCCGCCACTCGGTTATACAGTACATTGCAGTAGATATATATATAATAATAATATATCTTTGTAATATATATATATATTATGTATAATATTCGTGTATGTATATATTATATATTATATATAATATTTGTGCATATATATATATTGTAAAATATATTATGTACAATATATGAGTATAATATAATTTAATATCAAAAAATATAATATTATATAATACCGTATAATATCATATAATATAGAATAATATAATGTATATATAATATAATATATATATACATATTTAATATTATACATATATGTATGTATGTAATGTAATGTAACGTAACGTAACGTAACGGAACGGAACGGAACGGAACGGAACGTAATGTATGTACGTACGTACGTACGTACGCATGTATGTATGTATGTATGTATGTATGTGTGTGTGTATGTAATGTATGTATGTATGTATGTATGTATGTTTGTTTGTTTGTATGTATGTATGTATGTTTGTGTGTGTATGTATGTATGTATGTATGTAGGTAGGTTTGTATGTATGTAATGTATGTATGTATGTATGTATGTAGGTAGGTAGGTAGGTAGGTAGGTAGGTAGGTATGCATGTATGCATGTATGCATGTATGCATGTATGCATGTATGCATGTATGCATGTATGCATGTATGCATGTATGCATGTATGCATGTATGTATGTATGTATGTATGTATGTATGTAATGTATGCATGTATGTATGTAATGTATGTATGTATGTAATGTATGTATGTATGTAATGTAATGTTATGTTATGTTGTGTTGTGTTGTGTTATGTTGTGTTATGTTATGTTATGTTATGTGATGTAATGTTATGTAATGTAATGTAAGGTAATAATTGAATGTATGTATGTATGTACGTATGTATGTATGTAGGTATGTATTATGTATGTATTATGTATGTATTATGTATGTATGCATGTATGTATGTGTATTTATCTATTATATATATATATGTATTTATATATATATATATATGTGATATTCAATTGTGCAGATTCGTGAAATATGTTGACCTATTCCGCACACTGTCTACAATTGGAAGGCTCACATCATGATAGTATAGTGAGAGTACAGTGATCTTTTTTGGGGGTGGGGTGGGGTGGGTGTTTTTTGGTTTTCAAATCGCATGTTGATGCATTTAGTTCGCACATATTCATTGCTCAATTGACTCATGTGTGTGCATGTTCTTATGTGAGCACAACTGCCTGAGGATACTTATACCCATCACTGCCTAAGGTACATTTGGCCTTGCTGCTGTGGTTTGCACAGGCTGGGAGAGATGTGGAACCAATGTTTACGTTCAATAAAAGACATGAACAAGGATCGTGCCTCATAGTTCCCTAAGGTGGTTTACCACTCCAATAACTTCGGTTTATGGCAGTTTATGCTAGATCTAGATACATATCATTCGTCAAAAATGTCATGGTGGGTTTATAAAGCCACATCACTGGCTGTGGGGGGGGTGCACCACCTCGAACACCGAAAAAATCATGGTTCAGTTTGGGTGAAGCCGTGTGAGAGGCCTAAGCATTCGATGAACACTATAAATAAATATGGTAGATATAACAAACTATTACTGGTTGGTGGTTTGTTTTTTTTTTATTTTTCCATAATATGCGGGATAATCCTTCCCATTGACTGATAATTTTCAAGATGGTTAAAACCACTAACCAGTAAATACTGAGGGTTCAGAAAGATGTTTTTTTCCGCAAAGTCCTTAAAAGCCTTAAATTGAGCAGATCCATCTAAAATCTGAGAGTTACTTAGTGCTATTTTTCCTATGCGCTCCCCATGTTTTCCGCACTTAGGTTGTTTCATATCACTTTGTTCTGTCTACTATCGTGCTCCAATCAGTACTTTAATTGACGGGAACAACCACATCACATATGATGCAAAAGAACCACGGTTTCGTGTACATGCTCTCTTCAACCAATCCACATTGACGTGCCCCAATCATTGAACACAACTCTACACAACTGATATTGTATTACTTGGTTAATGTTGCTGATAACATCTGATTATCTCCCACCATATCCGAATTTTTAAGTGTTGATCTTTTACCCCCTATATGTCTTGGCTGAATCAAAGTTCTTCACAGCATTGAACAGCCATCGCAGTCTCCTCCGCGCGAGGTGCGTTGGATTCCTGGAGGTTTCTTGAGCAGGACCTTTTCGGGATGCTTTTGGGTTACAAGAAGGGACCCCCCAAATAGTCGTTCGCAAAGTTGACGCAACAATTATGGTCAACGGGATTCATATAGGGGATATATATACTTATATATAACATGATCTAACTATAGTTAGGTTGATGGGGTTATAAATCAATATTCACATCACATTTGGGGACTTCCTTCCTGAAGGCGGGCTTCTCAATCGCGAAGTTGTTTCGTAACTTGGTGAACTGTTGGATTTACGGTGGATACAGCTAGGTTACCGTTTATAGCTAGGTTACAACAAGGATACCTATGGTTCATGGTGGATATATCTATTGTGAATGGGGTTTAAACTACGTGGGGTTCGCAATGGTTTGCAAATTGTATGGTAAGAATCGAGATTTAGCCAGCGAAAACATGTTTTTGTACTGCATTCATGGGCAATGTATCAACATGTTCAGGCCCAAACAGCTTAGATACTGTTTGCTTTTGTCATTTCAATCCCATAGGATCCATGTATGCCATATATGGTAACATTTACCATCAATATACCCCAAATGTTAGCATATATACCAGCACCATGGATCCTATGGGATTGGCATTTTCATTAAACCGATCCATTTTGGTAGCGATCTGGACCCCGAAGCTGCTCTTGCTGAGACTCACAAAAGCCACCAAAACCATGACAGCAGGATGAGCCTCCGGGGCACAGACACAATGTTGGCCCCCCAAATGTGTTGTGTTGATTCGTTAACGAAAAATTGTGCAGCTCAATATATCTACCATAAAAAATACATAAAAAATCATACATGTATGTATTGTCGTTGTTCATCTTATATGCTATTTATGAATGTATTTTCAATATATCTACCATTAAAAAATCACAAAAAACATAAATAAATAAATAAATATATATATATATACCCTCTGGTTATTTAACATAGCCATGGGAAATGGCCCATAGAAATAGATGGTTTACCGTTCTTAAAAATGGTGGATCTTTCCATGGCTATGTTAAATAACCAGATGGTATATATGTATATATATGTATATGTATTTGATATCCATAAATCCAAAGGCCAAAACTTAGTTTTGTCCTTCAAGCCACGCTGGGTGTAGCGGATGGGAGGCCTTTACGTCTTCAGGTGTTTCTTCGCAGACGCAAAGGTCATGAGAAAAAATAGGTGATTTTGTCCATGAAAATGGACAAATCATGGCTTTGTGTTTTTTTTTCAGAATATAAGATACACACACATTTAGATGGTGCTATGAGACAACATTCGGTTTGGTGGGTGTTACCACCTTGAACATTGAAAACCAACACGCAGCTCCAGGATCATCTCCCAAACGGTCTCAAACCTGTTTGTTGGTTTCAACTCGATGTTCAGGGCTGTAATTATATGTGTTTTTTTTTCCGTGTTTTTTTCAATGCTCTGTTGCACCAATTCATATGACAACAGTTTTGTTTCGGCGTGATCAGAATCATGGCAAATGGTCAATTTCCTCATTTGTCAGCGCCCATTTTGCAGAAACAAAGGTTGCCTTTCCCAAACAAAATATGGATTTGACCCGCAAAGAAAACTACAATGTTTCATCACCTGCACATGTAGATCATGTAGAATAGAATCAACTCCCAGGTTATTCAAAGACCCTATTTGCAGGAGCATACGCCAATGGCAGGTTCCCGAAGGATATCAGCTGGATCAACAGCAGCTGGTGGCAATGTGGTTCACATGTCACTTGGAGAATTTGAAGCTTTGAACCACTGGCCACATGAAGGATCAAATTCCAGAATCACTTGAAGGACACCAGTGGTTCATGATAATTATAACATATTATAACCATAGTTGTAAACCACTGATAAATGGGATCATCCACGGATTTTTCAGACTTTCCAGGGCTTCAAAAACCAGGATTCGTGGGATGATAAGGCCGCACTGGACTTGATGGAAGTTTGGCCTCGGGTGATGGATTGTTTGGCCAGAAACTGGTATACTGGGCTGAACACCTTTTAGAATCCATGAGTTATGTGGTTTAAAAACTTAAATGCTTAAAGACCCATTGTTTGTGTAAAGTAAATTAGTAAACCTCTGTGACTGGTTAGCTAATGTTTCAGCTATTTCATGCTATTTCTGTGACAGGGCAATGACACTCGGATGACCTTGATGCACACAGGAAGAGGTCTCAAGTTCAGCGTTTTACATCAAGAATGCACCAAGATCAGCCAGCAAGGTTCATTGTTTGGAAGGGAGCATGGCTAGGTCAATCTTAGATGTGTAGTTTAATCATTTAATTCATCTTTTGGTATCAATGTGGTTATCTACTAACCAGCTAAGAAATTATATATATATTTTTTGCAGGGTATCTAAGATTGGCCATGACGCGTGTCGCAGTCGAAATATGGCTTGTTTTCCCATATTTGGGGGTTGATCATAAATTCGTGAAGAGGGTTTTTTTCACCCGAGCACATGTGGAAAACTTAGCCACAAAATATAAATGCCAATTCTGAGGTAATTTCATTGGCGTGGCCTGCCTCCGCACCATGCACTTCCAGTTCCTGATTTGGCATCTTGGTCTGGTGTGTTTGGTGTTGCACTGCAGACCCAAACGTAATGATATTAAGCCAATTACCATGGGGTAAGCTAACATAGATGTGGAAAACCCAAGGTTACCACATTAATAGGTAGCCTGAAGAGTACTTGGATGACAGAACATTTCATAGATGGTCTTGGTATCAGTGTTCTATCCGTGTTTGGTGTCACTGTTCTGAACCCTGGTAGCAGTTGTTTGTTGTGTTTTCAGATGTTTCCCGTTTTCAAAATCCAATCATGAACGATATCCCATTTATATATATATAATGTTGTCTAGCCAATAGTGATATCTTGTCAATAGTAGAAGCATTTTTCCACAACTCCAATTTTTCTCCAATACTAAAAGTCAATTAGCTCCATTTACTTTTAGTATTGCCAAAAGAGTCATGTTCAGACCTTGTCCAGAGGGCATGGCCAATAGTGGACCCAACATGGCAATAGTGGAAACTTGTTTCCCAACTCCAATTTTTTCTCCAATACTAAAAGTCAATTAGCTCCATTTACTTTTAGTATTGCCAAAAGAGTCAAGTAAAGCAAATCCTTTTCAAAGCAGCCTTCACTTTTGATTAGCAAAAGCTTAGATTCCAGAAATCTGATCCAATTACCAAACAGCTGATTTCCTTATAAAACCCTTATTAAAAAAAGCAAGAAAACAGGTCCACAAAGGGTACCCCCTTTGCAAGCCTCAGAATAGCAATAACAAACCTGCACCAGGCATGGCAATAGTGGAAACTTTTTTCCGCAACTCTTCTGGTGCACACTGAGCTGGGCAGGTCCCAGGTTGAGGTCCAGCGGTGCACACTGAGCTGGGCAGGTTCCCGGTTGAGGTCCAGCGGTGCACACTGAGCGCGGCAGGTCCCCGGTTGAGGTCCAGCGGTGCACACTGAGCTGGGCAGGTCCACGGTTGAGGTCCAGCGGTGCACACTGAGCTGGGCAGCTCGCAGGTTGAGGTCCAGCAGTGCGCACTGAGCTGGGAAGTTGGCGAAGAGCTTGGCGACGAGTTGGCAAGGTTGGCAAGGCGGAAGTGGAGGTGGAAGAGGCGGAGGCGAGGAGGAGGGCGAGGAGGACAGCTAGTCGAGGAGGAGGAGGAGGAGGAGGAGGAAGAATGAGGCGGCGGGCATGCGCTCTGATAAAATCTAACAACCCTCAGCTGGCAGGTGGGGAATTATTTTATTTAGGGGGGATTTACTATTAGGCAGCCTACATTATATAATTTCAGGCGGGCTTCGATTGAACCTTACGAACAAGTGCTATATACCTTCCTGTAGACTAACATCGATTTGGAGTTTACTGACTTTTCTCTTTCTAGATCAAATATTGCTTCCAGACAAAGCTATCAAGAAGGGAAGGCGGATCAACCAGAGGATGAGTTCTGACCGTGGCCGTTGAGACGCTAACGCGACGGAGGTGGAAAACAAGGCGGCAGACAACTCACCGAAAGCCAGGGTGGTTCTTTGGAGCTTCTCTGGGGCTTCTTTGGGGCTTCTCTGGGGCTTCCAGGCTCACAATCTAACTGTGGCTAGCGCATCACCAACTACCAAGGCTGCCGTGCTTCTGCTGCGTGGTCGCCAAAATTGGAACATTCTTCCGCCGGACCAGTATATCTGGATGTGCTGAAGGTGTTTGTCAATTTTCCCATTGCTTATTCCCCACCTGCCAGGTGAGGGTTGTTAGATTTTATCAGAGCGCTCTTCCTCCGCCTCATCCTCCTCCTCCTCCTCCTCGACTAGCTGTCCTCTTCCTCCTCGTCCTCCTCCTCGCCTCCTCCTCCAGTTTCTCCTCGACCATGTCTGCATCAACTTCCACCTACACTTCTGCCTTGCCAACTCTTCGCCAAGCTCTTTGCCAACTCTCTTCGCCGACTCTCTGCGCAAAGCTCTTTGCCAACTTCCCAGCTCAGTGTGCACCGCTGGACCTCAACCTGGGAGCTGCCCAGCTCAGTGTGCACCGCTGGACCTCAACCTGGGACCGTTCCAGTTCAGTGTGCACCGCTGGACCTCAACCTGGGATCTGCCCAGCTCAGTGTGCACCGCTGGACCTCAACCGGGGACCTGCCCAGCTCAGTGTGCACCGCTGGACCTCAACCTGGGACCTGCCCAACTCAGTGTGCACCGCTGGACCTCAACAGCCAGATAGAATGCCAGAAGATATGCCAGATGGAATGTCAGATAGAATGCCAGAAGATATGCCAGAAGATATGCCAGGTAGAATGTCAGATAAAATGCCAGAAGATATGCCAGATAGAATGGCAGAAGGTATGCCAGATAGAATGCCAGATAAAATGTCAGATAGAATGCCAGAAGATATGCCAGATAAAGTGCCAGAATGTTTGCCAGATAGAATGCCAGAAGATTTGCCAGATAATATGCCAGAAGATTTGCCAGATAGAATGCCAGATAGAATGCCGGAAGATATGCCAGAACAAATGCCAGAAGATATGCCAGGTAGAATGCCAGATAGAATGCCAGAAGGTATGCCAGATAAAGTGCCAGAATATTTGCCAGATAGAATGCCAGAAGATTTGCCAAATAATATGCCAGAAGATATGTCAGATAGAATGCCAGAAGATATGCCAGGTAGAATGCCAGAAGATATGCCAGCTAGAATGCCAGAAGGTATGCCAGATAGAATACCAGATAAAATGTCAGATAGAATGCCAGAAGATTTGCCAGTAACAAAATGTATAAATGTCATGGTGGGGATCACACGAAGTAAAGTATTTTTCCCCACCTGCCAGGTGAGGGTTGTTAGATTTTATGTCAGTTGCCTCCTCCTCCTCCTTCTCCTCCTCCTCCTCCTCTCCTCCTCCTCCTCCTCCTCCTCCTCGTCCTCCTCGTCATCCTCGTCCTCCTGCTCAACTGCGACCCTCGACGCATAGTGTTCTCTGTCGGACCTCAACCACGACCATCCATGCTCAGTGTTCCCTGCCGGACCTCAACCACGACCATCCACGCCCAGTGTTCCCTGCCGGACCTCAACCACGACCATCCCCGCCCAGTGTTCCCTGCCGGACCTCAACCACGACCATCCACGCCCAGTGTTCCCTGCCGGACCTCAACCGCGAGGATCCACGCCAAGTGTTCCCTGCCGGACCTCATGAGATATGCCAGATAGAAAGCCAGAAGATATGCCAGATGGAATGTTAGATAGAATGCCAGAAGATATGCCAGATAAAATGCTATGAGATATGCCAGAATGCCAGAAATGCCAGATAAAATGTCAGATAGAATGACACAAGATATGCCAGATAGAATCCCAGAAGATTTGCCAGATAATATGCCAGAAGATATGCCCAGATAGAATGCCAGAAGATTTGCCAGAACATATGCCAGAAGATATGCCAGATAGAATCCCAGAAGATTTGCCAGATAATATGCCAGAAGATATGCCAGAAGATATGCCAGAAGATATGCCAGAAGATATGCCAGAAGATATACCAGACGATATGCCAGATAGAATGCCAGAAGATATGTCAGAATATATGCCAGAAGATATGCCAGATAGAATGCCAGAAGATATGTCAGATAGAATGCCAGAAGATATGCCAGATAGAATGCCAGAAGATTTGCCAGATAGAATGCCAGAAGATATGTCAGATAGAATGCCAGAAGATTTGCCAGTAAGAAAATGTAAAAATGTCACGGTGGGGATCACACGAAGTAAAGTAATTTTTGTTTGGTGGCCACCTTAATTAAGGACATCCAAGTTGAACCAAGTATATTGAATATACATATATATATATATATATACCATGTGGATCCAATGTTGTGTCTACTTGCTGACATTTGCGGTAAACCTTGTTTTTTGACGTCCGTAGGCATTATTTGACATCCGTAGCCAAAATTTGGCAACATTTGCGGTTACCATAATTTTACCGTAAAATGCTGTGAGCACAAGCGAAAAGTGGTTTGTACCCTTATAAGATGAGCGGTCAATCCTGAACAGATCACGGTTTATCACGTTTTGTCACGGTATTTCCGACAAATGTCATAATTTTAAGTGGCAGAAAAATGATTCATCACGATTTTGAACTGCATATGGCCATGATCAGCTCGCATGCGCATCTTCCAAATAGAGGATGCCTGCGGTTTTTTCTCGATTTCCGACAAAATCCGATGGATTTCCGACAGGGTCCGGCAAATGTAACCAAAATCAAGCGTTAACGGAGACGTAGCTGTATTTTGACTACATTTCTATTTTTGGTGTATATAACGACATGGATCCTCAGGGATATATATATATATAGACATACATGTGCTCAACGATTGCCCAATGCACATTTGGATGAATTCGGGGCACGACTATTAAAATCATGCGGAATTTGGCCTCACAGCCCAGATGGCATTCCTCACCGGACCCTTCAGTGTCAAGTACGATATGGGGTGCAGTTCCAGTGGTCGGGCTTAGAATGACATGTTTGTAATTATTGCCAACGAAGTCCCCAATTTGTTCGGGTGTGAACCTAGTTTAGTTGATGGACTATGATGAACTGACCATATTTTTCCCGTCCAATCCCGTCAAATCTTAATGATGGCCACATGTTAGAAGACACACTGCACGCACTTTCTGCGCACCTCCAAAGGCACCATGGGTTTCAATACTGTGATGACTTGGATGGTGACTGGGGTAACGATGTTGTTGGGAAACCTCCATATATTCATATCTAGATATATCTAGTATATGTATATTGTACATATCTAGTTAGTGTATATATATATATAATTATATATGTAGATGTTTTGGACGTATTTTGCAGCAACCCCCGTTGCTCCCAGGTATTTCCACAGTGTGCCCTTTCTCAGTTGGTTCGCCCTTTCTCAGCAAACGTCGTTGGTTTCGCGCTTCCTTCTGGTGTGCTTGATCACCCTGATGGCAGGGAGGGATGTCAATGGATGGTGCCCAGTGATGTGAACGTTGGTTATTTAACAGTTTGCCATGGAAAATGGCCCATAGAAATAGATGGTTTACCTATTAAACATCGTGATTTTCCATGGCTATGTTAGTCATAACCAGATGGTACCTATAGTTATATCTACCATAAACCATAGAATTCAGCCACTTAGACGTTAACTGAACGTTATCTTGGGGGGGCCCGTCCTGCGAACTTACAAAGGTAACCCCCACAATACCGACGTTTTGCCGGCCCCTACAAGCTTAGGCCCTCGGCCTTACATCGCAAAATTGGTTGACGCACACTTCACTTGGTGAGCTGTTGGGGTTAGGGGGAATAGAACTATAGTTACTGTAGTTGTTGGATTTTATTAGATTTCACAAGCCAACAAACACAACTTTTTTTTGCCCCAACTTATAACTAACTACTTATAATTGAGGGACCAAACCCCAAACCTAGCACCCTAAGCCCGGTCTCGAAAGGTGGAAGCATCCTTCAATCTGACCACTTTCGGAGAGGCCGGAAGTAGACGAATGGTGGGCTTACCCTTGAGTAAACCAGGATAGCTATGGAAAATCCTTGAATATCACCATTTTGTTGGGTTTAACTGGGCTTTAAAATGGATATATCATCTATACCTGGGCCATTTTCCATAGCTAATGGTATAGTTTAGCCTAGAACTATGGGATAAGATCCGCCGTACGGTCACAGGATAGTTCAGCCATATATCTAGATGTGGCTAGCTGGAAAAACACCTATGTTCATGGAGGTCTTTAGCTGGTAAAATCCATCAATGTGGGGGTATTTCTTCTATCCTATTATCCTCACGTGGGTTTACAAACGAAATCTGGTTGGTGGTTTGGAACATGTTTTATTTTCCATAATATATGGGATAATCCTTCCCAACTGACTAATATTTTTCAGCGGGGTTGAAACCTCCAACCAGAAAACGACTGTCAGGTAATAGAACATGGCAATTGAGCAGCCACCATTTGTAGATGAATTTCCCAGCTAGAAACCTCCATTTAGCTGTGGTATTTTTCCAGCTAGCCATGTTTGATGACACCAGCAGCTACAATGTCACTGAGATGCAGAGGCTTACTGCATCTGCTGGGATTTTCCCACTTCTGGCATTTTTGGGAGATCCAAATTCGGGTGCCCCGAAATGGAATGGTTTATTAAATGGAAACGTTCAATTATTTGTGGTTCCCTTGGCCAAATCAACGCATACCCAAATGATCCAAAATACCTCCGTTAGCCCAGACATATTCGGATGATGCAGGGGATCTCTGAAAGCTTGTGGCAGGCTCACTTCTTCATTATCCAAACAATGATTTTTGTAGATTATGTATTTGTACTGACTAGTGATATAGAAATTATGACTTGACCCATGTAGTGCGAACTTTTGTCAATCAACTCCCACTTTTGACTGATGGGATTCTACCCATAGATGTCCTTTTTTCACTAGCTGATTGATTAATAGAAAGGGTTAACCCCATTGAACTACCAATAGGTAAGCGATGAGAAATTGCCTACCAAACCGCTCCTTCATTGTTTCCTCTTTTATTGATTCTACCAATACCAATAAGGGCATTACAAGGTGGTGCTCCATAGTTAGCTAAGTTGGTTTTTAACTCAATTTCGATTGGGTTTATGGATGTTTATGGTAGATATATCTATACTTATTTGGGTTATAAACCATTATAAACCAACAGACATCACTTGGTGGGGGCATCAGTGTGTATCAGATTGGTTATATATCCCATTCAATCCCTTGAAATCCTGTGAAAAATTCATGAAATCCAAAAAACAAACAATAAATTCCATGACATCCCCAAGAAATCCCCGTTGGTGAAATCGCACCTATCCATCTGCGTATCCATTTCTCCTCGCGCGAGGTGAGTGGACCCGATGGCCGCAGATGGACCACCAAGGGCGTGCCCAGCAAATACGGAAGTCTTTTGCTGCAGGCGGACTGCTGACAGCCATGATCTGCCTTTTTGTGTGCAAAAAAGGGGCACTTGAAGTGATGACATATGGATGTAATACTGTTTTTTGTTTTTTGCAGATTTCAGACTAGATGAATCTAGTATATAACATATATGACTAGATTATACTAGAGCTGGTTGGTGGTTTGGAACATTTTTTAGTTTTCAATATATTGGGAATAATAAACCCAACTGACTAATATTTCTCAGAGGGGTTGAAACCACCAACCAGAGATGTTTTGGCTCAGTTAATAATGTTTTGTTGATCCAGTAAGGATATTCAACTAATATCGGCTTCTGCAGGGTCACCTGGCTGACCGAATACGCTTCGCTAGGGAAGCCATGGTTTTTTTAGCGATGTCAAAATGGTGATCTTAGAAAAACTACAAGGTGGTGCCCGCAAGATACCTAAGCTGTTTTTTAACTCCAATAACTATGGTTTTTAGGTGATATATCTATAGTTAATGGGCTTATAACCAATTTATAACTGGGGGGGCACCACCTTGTATGGCAACGGGAATTTCATGGATTACTCCATGGAATGCTGGATTACTCAATGGTTCATAATTGAGATTAACTGATTGCTTCATGGATAGTGGTTCATGAATTATGATCAGTGGCTTTTATAGTTGCTGGTTGGTGGCTTAGAACATTTTTTATTCTTCCATTCAGTTGGGTTTTTTTCATGTTCTCAACTGACGAATTCCATCATTTTTCAGAGGGGTAGGGCTCAACCACCAACCAGAGATGTTAATCCCTTCCTCCATTGAAAAAACAGCGAGGAAGTCACCACTGGACCATGATGAGCTCGATGATCAACTTGACCTCTGTACAAACCCATTTTCTGGGATTGCGAATGTCCATGTTTCGAACTGAGATTGTGTAGTATGTTTTTCAAAAAATGTATGTACATGATTTTTTTTCCAACTCACATGTCCTAAATGGACAATATTCCCATATGCGAACCATGGTGCTGGTATATTTACATGACTGGATGATTTTCTGGCAAATGTTGGTGTGCATATTCCAGCACCATGCTTCGCTAATATGGGATAACACAATTAACACAATCCCATGCTATCCTCAGTCGGTCAGGCGGCGCACCTGCTGCTTATGGCCCTTCTGATTCCGCAGGGGCGGCTACATAAAGATGACCCGGCGGAAAATGACAGGAGTGCTGGTTGAGATAGACCCATGGAACTGGAGATTTTTGTCGAGGGATATGGACAACTTCTGGTAAAGCAAGAGTTCGCTATGGAAAGTCCCTATGTTTAAGAGGTCAATCAACGATTTCGCCATATTCAATAGCAAACTGTTAAATTGCCAGAGGGTAATACTTTAAATGTCCTAAGCTTGGGATTGAACGTGGATCCAGCCGCAGCTTAACTGGTTATGAACCCCCTAGTTATAGGTACTCGTTATAGGGATTGAACGGGGTAACGGGCCATATCGAACCCCTATGGTTTGGCGGGGTACTACCCTTTGATGTCCATCATGTTTGCCGTCGGCGATGTTTTTTTCTATTTTTCAGTTGTCTATTGTTTCAGCTCTACATTGCAAAACAAGGTGCCCTCTGGTAAACTAACATAGCTATTTAAAATCACAATTTTTAATAGGTAAATCAACTATAACTTGTCAATTTTCAATAGCTATCTTAAATTGCCAGATGGTATTGTGAATGTTAAGACATCAGCAGTGTCAACCCTGGGAATTGCAGGAAATATGCCAAAAAAAAACGCCATGAGAATGTAGGGGCGCAGCGCGGGTGGGTAAGACTTTGAGCAAGGGGGTTTCCACTTTCAGCAGTGAACCTTCAAGTACTGGTAGAGAACTAGAGAACAGCTGTTTGACCTTCCACAGAGGTAGCTGTGTGGGTGATGAGATCGTCGATGCTTCTATGATTCATAGCATTTTTATGGAAATATACAGATTGCCACATGTGCCATGTCAAAAGTTGGATTAGTTTGACTCATACTTTGGGAGGGTCATCTCTGCCATTTTGGTGCTAATATACTCACTATGTTAGGAATCTAATTTCTATCAACTGTGGGAAAACACTATAAAGGTACTGTAAATTCTCCATCTTGGATGGTGAATTCATAGGGTCATTGGATGCCCTCTGGTAATCAGTTCCATGGCTTGCTGGAAACTCCCATATTATCTAGTTCCATGATTTTGCCATCCATGCTGGATTACCGGAGGGTAACCATTAATCATTATTCCCATAGGATCCATGGTGCTGCCATATATGGTAACATGGGTCCCATCAATATACCCCAAATGTTAGCATATATACCAGCACCATGGATCCTATGGGATTAACCATCAAAAAAATCCTCATTATGCGCCCATGAACTTCAGTTTTTTCTAATTCAGGATGAGGATTTTCTGAATTTCCAGCAACAAAAACCTCCAATTGTACCAATTCTGGAACTTCTCCACTTATATATTATGAGACGAAATATAGGGCACCCATGTGCTCCATGGTGCTGGAATATTTACCTACATGACTGGGCCATTTATATGGGATAAATGTAGGTAAATATTCCAGCACCATGGAGCATCTGGGGTATATATATATGTGTATATATATATATATACATATGGGTAAATTATAACGACCTCACTGCGACCTCACTGGAATCATAGTTAATAAGGGGAATCCTCCCCAAATGGCCTTAATTCAGGGTAGTGACATATTATAATTTACCCATATATATATATTTAATTTATATATATATATATATTTATTTATTTATGTGTATATATATATATTATAATATGGACTATATGGATTATAAACCGCGGGGTCCGATACTTCAGGTCCTACCTGCGGCTCGTGTGCTGACCCGCAATGCGGGCACTGTGAGCGATGCGCCGGTAGGGGTCTAAAAATGATGGGAGGGAATGGGCATGTGGGACCACCCAGCTATATACCCTTTCTGGTTGGTGGTTTCAAACATGGCTTTTATTTTCCATTTCATATATGGGATAATTCTTCCCAACTGACTAATATTTTTCAAGATGGTTAAAACCACCAACCAGCTTTGGTTATTTAACATAGCAATGGAGAACGTCCTATCTATTGATGATAAACATCATGATTTACCGGTGAAAAATGATGCTGTTCCATAGCTCTGTTCATAACCAGTGGGTAATGTATGATTAGTATATACGTGTATGGAATTTCAGCAAAGCCAAATAATTATATGGAAATGGTGTGGAATATAGTTTCCAACTACTAATTGACTAGCCAGTTAAAAGGTAGACATGGATCCAAATCCTAATGCGATACATGGATATGTCATATATAACTGGCATTTTTCAGCACTTACCGGGATGCACCACGATACCTGTCCATTCTCTTTAGCACAGCTGTTTTTTTCCGATGATTTTCATGGGTGTTCATATCTGCTAGAGATGGTCATTCAGGATCCATGGATCCATCATCACCAGTGATGCACTATTAAAATGGATGACTTGTTCATAGTTTTTTATAGATTTTCTACCTATATGTAATAGTGTTTCACTAATCAATCTATTGGTGTATTGGAAAACCAGATGTAATTCTATCCCGCCCAAACTAGACACCCCGAATACCCCGGCAAATAAAAAACTGGCAAACCAGTATTGGATATATTCATTTCGCCTAGCGTTTCAAGAGGGGATATATTTCATTGCGCACTCCAGTAATCAAGCATAGCAATGATGGAAAATCCAAACGGAAGAACCTTGGAGTTGGCCCAGATATCCCAGGGCATCCCCTAGAAACATGGGCGAAATATGGATTCCCCTCTGGTTATTTGTTACATAGCTATGGAAAATGACCCATTTACAGATGATTGTCCCATTAAATCCTCCATGGGTTCATTGATGAACGATTTTCCATTGCAACGCTTGATGACCGGCGGGTATAAATCATGGAAGGGATTGGCTTTACACACGGTCAAGCCCTGCAGACATTCATACAAGGCAGCCGGCCGCCTAGATAGCTAAGTTGACGCACATAACTTGGTGAATTTTAGGGTTTATGAGGGATATAACATGATATAACTATAGTTCATGGGTTTATAAACCAACTTATAATATACTGGGGGGCCACGCCACACCATGTATACATTCAATTAGACATTTTTCGGATTCGGTGAATCCCCGACTGCAGGTCATTTTTTGTTGAATGACCACTGTGATTGGCTGTGTCTTGACACGCTCCCCCTCTCTTGACATGGTAATTTTGATCGATAAGATTGTGATACACCCAGAAAAACATAGATTATATATATATATAGATTCAAAAAGGTGCTTCATTCTTGGGTGTTGCTCTACACATCTTCTCGCTAAAATTGTAGATGTGAAACAACGACAGTTGTTCCAAAGTACACATTGACATAGTGCCTGTACGAACCCTGTGCGTCCCTGTGCTCTTCGTCCTCTACAAGATTGTTACCCTCCTGTTTGAGAATACGGAAGTCTGGGAAATCCCTTGAAAATCTTGATGGACGCCACGACTTGGAGGATTGGCACATTTCTAGGGCGTATGGATTGTTTCAAAAGCACCTGCACCCAGCGTAACGGAGAGACTCGCAACCCTCGTTACGCCGTGGATATCCAGTTTGTTGACCACACGGGTTGGAAGCCAACATGTTCACCGGAGCTGCGGATGAATTGTTTGCCTCTTGGGACTCTGGGGTTCCCTGGGGTCTGAATTTCTCCATCCCCTTGGCCATTGACGACGATGCCCACTCAGAAGCGCCCCACTCAGAAACCTGGCAGCCAAAATCATGATCTAGTGCGAATTTAGCGGCCGAGACATGGACTGCCACGGTAAAACCATTTTTTACCGCCTAGCGGTGGTTGATGGCAATGAAACCATTGTGAAACCCCAAACATCCTGGTTGGAAATTGCCATCCTTTGGTTCCATGGGAGTCTTCAGGGGTGCAACTTGGCGTAGGTCATCGATATCAAAATTAGGCTTCTCAACTCCTTTCAAGTCCCACATTCCTTTCAGAGTGAAAAAATATGAACATCTATGAACCAGCAAGAGTTGTTTGAAGCGCCAAAGAGGGTAATGTTTCCATCAACAATCAGAAGCTTCAAACTTCCCAGTATGGAAACCATGTAACACCATGAACTATCCCTATGATCTCGTGATGAAATTGACCCAGATAGTGACAAAATCAATCTATCTGGGTAAATTATAACGACCTCACTGTTCTCCCTCACTGGAAATCATGGTTAGTGAGGGGAATCATCCCCAAATGGCCTTAATTCAGGGTAGTGAAATATTAGAATTTACCCATATATATATATATTATATATATTATATATATATACATACCTTATGTGGGATAAACCCAGGAAATGGAGACAAACCTCACTGGTGTTGATACCCTCTGTTTGTTATCTGTTTGATGTCCATCCCTGGCCGCCCAGTTGTGCTTCCACGGTGTGGGCGAGAACCACTACGAGGTGCGACTTGCGTCGCAAGTTTGATGCACTTGGGGGTGCGGGCCCCACGTAGTAAATGGCTCAAAAAGAACAATTAGATTAATGGAATATCCCCACTTTCAAATGGGATGAACATGGATGAAATATGTTTTTTGGATTATCAGCCATTTACTAAGTGAGATGCACATCCAAGGATGGCACTGGGGATGGTATGTGGATGACCTCACATCAAGAGGTCGTGCTGAATGGATTCGGGTAATTATCCCTTTATATAAACTTATGATGACTTATATGTACTTTGATTTCGTGGAAGTCAGAAATATACAACCACTATTTTGTATGGCTAAAACAACTTTGTGCATTGATATTCCATGATATTTTTCTCCGCCCAGGTCAAACTGAATTTCGATGCCGCGTTTGTGGTTCAAAAAAGGATAAAGATTGAACCTTTTTTTGGCCAAACAAGGCTTTTCTTTTGGTATACACAGAAGGGGCAAGTACATTGATGTTGATGTTGGCCCAATAAAAGATGCACCTTTTTTAAGATCAATGCATCTTTTGGCTATGCATTTCCACCATTTTCCACCAGCATATATGGGACCTACCACTACACTGGTCAGACGACCGCCTGCAGATGGGAGCTAGAAGAAACCACCCCCACCTTGGTAGCCACTTTTCCGGTATCAAATGCCTTTGAAATTGATCCAAATGCAATAAATATGATTATATTGCTGTAAAAACAATGCAATGATACAGTGCTATCATCACAGTGGCAAACACATACATCATCAGAACAACATTTGAAAAATACAAACCCTCACTTTACAAACATTTGCCAACATGTCAAATGGACAACCCGACTCAAGAACAGAACAAAAACACACACACACACATTTTTGTTGGTCTGCCGTCATGAACATATGTTTTTTCCTCGCGGCAGCTGTGTGCTGTAGTTGCAATGCCAACTGCATAGAGGGATCACGACCTGAGGTGGCGCAAATCCTCCTGGAGCGGCTGTTCCATGGGGATGATCCTATGTCCATCTTCAATTCACGCACAGAGAGAGCAGCATCTTGACACGTTTGTCGGTGAAGGATGTGAGATTAGTGTTGGATGCAGCTGAGAAACCTATCAATTTCTGGCTGGAGTTGGGATCCTTCGAGGGTCACTCGGCCATTTTTGCAAGTCGAGGACTCCTGAAGTATGGCCTTCATGCTTCGGTGGTCTCAGTCGATACCTTCTTGGGTGACACTTTTACTCTATGGCACGGCAGGCTTAAGACTCAGAACCGTTCTGAGGGCCGGCGAAGGAGCTGGCTGAACGATCTGAGACCAGATGGCAGCATCACCATTTTTGATCGCTTCAAGAGTCATGTTCGACACAATGGAATGCAATCATGTATCCTGCCAATCCCAACCACGACCATTGTAGGCTTGAAATTGGTCGAGTCCTTGGCTAAAGAGCAGTTGATCCTGCTGGCCCCTGGCTGCCGGCTAGTGGGCTACTGGCTGCTGCTGGTTAGCTGCTGCCGCTGCTCTTACTGCTAGTGCTGGACTCGCTGCTGCCGCTGCTACTGCCACTGCCGCTGCTCTTGCTGCTGGTGCGGCTAAACTTGCTTGTCTTATTCCCTGGCGCGCTCCCCCTTGCGTCTGCCGGGGTCGGCGGATTAACGCCTAGACCACTTCCGACGGTCTGTGCTGAAACTTGAATCCGCTTGCCTGTGACTGTCCATGGCCCATGGCCATCCATGGCCCATGGGCCGCTGGAGGTGGCCACCCTGACAGTTGCCGATGGCTTCACGCTTTCGGGTGGAAACTTCGATGCCTCTGCCAGTACTGGAGCTTTTCAAACAGGCAGCGGCGCCATTTCCCTGAATGGCCCGACTCTGAGCACTTTACATCGTATGGTACACAGGAGAGACAGGCGTGTTTTAGAAACATAGCTTCAACATACTTCAACCAATAAAAAATAAGTGTACGGTGTACGTATAACTGCAGAAGGATTTCGGTAGGCGCACTCCCTCACAACACCACATTCATACCTGCAGATGTTCAGAATTTGTCGAGAACAATTTTGATTTGTGTACCTGGCTTGATGGAGATCTCAGGTGATGTTACAGCTGCTTCTGGCTTCACATTGTCAAGTGGCAACTTTGATGCTTCTGGAAGTACCGGGACCTTCAGTTGTATGTTTGGGCTTGGAACTGGCTTGTGCATCTGGTCCAACTGGTAGTGACCTATTCAAAATTCTTGAATAGTGCTGCCATCTGCCACGTACCGGGACCTTCCAAACAAGCTCCGGCCCCAAGATGGCCCCAAGATGGCCCAACATGGGTTCAGCATGGTTCCAAGATGGCCCAACATAGGCCCAACATGGCCCCAACATAGGCCCAACATGGCCCCAAGCTGGCTCAACATAGCTCCAAGCTGGCCCAACATAGCCCCGAGGTAGTCCCGAGATAGCCCAACTTAGCTCCAACTTGATGCAACAGACAACAACAGCAGCAGCAACAACAACAACAACAACAGCAACAGCAACAGCAACAGCCACAACAACAAGAACGACAACAACAATAATGACAACAGCAAGAACGACAACAACAACAACAACAACAAGAAGAAGAACAACAATTGTTGTTGTTTTTTGTTTTTGTTGCTGTTGTTCTTGTTGTTGTTGTTGTTGTTGTGCTTGTTGTTGTTGTTGTTGTTGTTGTTGTTGTTGTTGTTGTTGTTGTTGTTGTTGTTGTTGTTGTTGTTGTTGTGGTTGTCGTTGTCGTTGTTGTTGTTGTTGTTGCTGTTCTTGTTGTTCTTGTTGTTGGTGGTTTCTTGGTGGAGCTTGTTGTTGTCGTTGTTGGTGGTGGTGGTGCTGCTGCTGCTGCTGCTTGTGCTTGTTGTTGTTGTTGTTGTTGTTGTTGTTGTTGTTGTTGTCGTTCTTCTTGTCGTTGTTGTCGTTGTTGTTGTCGTTGTTGTTGTTGCTGCTTGTGTTGCTGATGTTCTTGTTGTGGTTGTTGTTGTAGTCGTAGTCGTAGTCGTAGTAGTAGTTGTTGTCGTTGCTGTTCTTGTTCTTCTTGTTGTTGTCGTCGTCGTTGTCCTTGTCGTTGGAGTTGTCGTTGTCGCTGTCGTTGTCGTCGTTGTTGTCTCGTCGTCGTTGTCGTTATCGTTGTCGTTGTTGTTGTTGCTGGTCGTTGGAGTTGTCGTTGTCGTTGTCGTTATCGTTGTTGCTGTCGTTGTCGTTGTTGTTGTTGTTGTCGTTGTCGGTCTCGTTCTCGTCGTCGTTGTCGTTGTCGTTGTCGTTGTTGTTGTTGCTGTTGTTGTTGTCATTGCTGTTGTTGTTATTATTCTTCTTGTTGCTGTTGTTGTTGTTCTTGTTCTTGTTGCGACATGATGATGATGATGATGATGATGATGATCCTGATGCTGATGCTGATGCCGATGATGATGATGATGATGTTGATGATGATGGTGATGATGATGATGATGGTGATGATGATGATGATGTTGATGCTGCTGATGATGATGATGGTGATGATGATGATGATAATGATGATGATGATGATGGTGATGATGATGATGATGATCATGATGATGATGACAATGATGACGATGATGATGATGATGCTGATGCTGCTGATGCTGCTGATGCTGCTCCCACCCTGCATCTTTTGGCCTGCTGGCCCGCTGTTGGGCGTCAGCCCTTTAAATCCGGCCAGGGGCCCTGGGGGCCGGGAGCTGGCAGGGGCCGCCGCCCCTGCCGCCGACCTCAAAAACTCCCGCGTTTTACGGTGTTTTTTGCTGTTCCCATTTTTCGACTCTTGTGGCCTGAGATGGCCAACATAGGCCGCAAGATGGGCCAACATAGCCCCAAGATGGGTCAACCTAGCCCTAAGATGGGTCCAAGATGCGCCAACATAGCCCCAAGATGGGCCAACATAGCCCTAAGATGGGCCCAAGTTGCCCTCAAGATAGGCCAACATAGCCCCAAGATGGGCCCATATAGCCCCAAGCCGTTCACCCCTATCACCTCAACATGGGCCCCTGGCCGGCTGTCGCGCGTAAGCGCTTAAATTCTTCGGTTACGACTGAAGGCCCTTGGGCGGCGCCCGGGGAGGCTGGGGGCGGTGTGTTTGTTTGAAATGGCATTTTTTAGCCGCTTTGAACAATGCACCTCTCGGGCACTCCAGCCGCAAGCGGAACTGAAACAATATGCAACAAAGAAATCCCAACCGAAGATCAAGTAGAATTATTGGAGCGAATTGAGCAAATCAACCAAGATGGATATTCCAATCAGTCAGTCTTTACAAGCGATCTTCTTCAGATACTTTGTGCCAAGATGCCTAGTTTGTGTGAAATGGTTCGGAGGAGAAGGTTCTTGCGAAACGATTGAAGCCGGAGCAGAATGCATCTCAGAAAGAATACACAATGAAAGGCTAAGTTGAAAAGCAAGTGCGAAAGAAAGTACGGCCCAGCATTTTCTGAACAAACTGGGAAACAAATTGGAAGGCGTTGCTAGAGGAAGCAAAACCAATTTCAGACTGCGACGCCACTAAGAACTAAATTTGGAAACAATACACGAGAGACAAACCGAAACACAAGAAGTTAAAATGCAAAGTAGGTGTGAAGACGCAACAAGAAACACTGAGATATATTGAGAGTCACGGGGGGGAAGAGGCCTGGAATCACTATCTAACCAGCCGAACAGAATCAGCCTCACCAATCTGGATACAAAGGGCAGCGCGCACCACCTAGCCAGAAGCAAGATCCAATAGCCAGAGACCATTTGGCAACAGGTTCAAACGCAAAGGGCTCTATCTCACGACAGCAGTCAGTTTCAAAACGAGCCAGGGGAGGGGCATTGCAAAGGCATCCAAGTGCACACACATATTCTCCTTGTCCTGAGCAGAGAGAAGGTAATTCAAGAAGGATGCATCCTCAGAAGGGTGTTTTTGTTTTTCTCTTGTTTTTTTTCTTCTTGGCGCTGTTGTTGTCGTTGTCGTTGTTGTCGTCGGTGTCCCTGTTGTCGTTGTTGCCGTCGCTGTCCCTGTTGTCGTTGTTGTCGTGTTTCCGGTCGTGATGGTTGTGGTGGTTCTTGTGGTTACTGTTTCTTCTATATACTTGTTTCTTTTGTGGTCTTTTTGTTTTTTGTTTATTCTTCTCGTTTTTTTCTTGTTTCTTCTTCTTTTTTTTTGTTTCTTGTTGCTTCTTCCCTGTATTTGCATCCTTGTTCTTGTTGTTTGTTGCGGGTGCGGTCGTATCACTACTTCTCTGACCCGCCCCCTTGCTTTGGGATGAGGTCGGCAGATGTCGGCAGACTATGCAAGGTCGGTTTTTCGTGTTTTCAACACTTGCTTTTTGATCTCCTTCGCCACACTTGATCCACACACTTGCCAGTGAGTACCTTGTACCCGAAAGGATCCCAAAGGCGAAAGGCGCTTTGCAAGTAGCTTTCCGACAGAGACAGTTTGAACGGATGCAGTATCGATCAACCATTCGACCCATCCCATTTTGATGTGTATTCACCGGGCAGTTTCCACAGAGCACGCTTACAATCGTAGACCAACAGTCTGATGGCGCGATGCTGTAAGGTTGCCTAGATATGCTGAGCATGGTTTCCTTCAGGTTGAGCCAAGTGATCGTTACAAAGTGATCAGAGTGTGCTTGATATATGCGCGTGTACACGATGCAGTGGTGCTATTTTTGCTCCATTCGATTCATTTGTTTGTATGTTGCACTCAAATCAAATGGCAGTTCGATGATGCCTTGTGTTAGACGGTTGGCAGCACGAACATTGGATACCTGGACGCCTTGTCCTAGTATGTTCTAGTATGTTCTAGTCAGTATGTGACTATGTCTCAGGCTTGATCGGACAATACCATCTAATGTATTGCAACAAAACTCCTGTTATGTCAGATGAAATCGCATAGCATCATATAGTTTCATATAGTTTCACAAAGTATCAGATAGTTTCGTACAGTAGCATATAGTATCATGTTATTTATATACATAGTTTCGCACCCAAATTTTGATATACACATATATATATATATATACCTAGGTCTTCGTTCGTAGCACTTTTTTTTCTGGGAGACTAGGTTGTTGACTTCTTTTTGAGATATCGGTCAGAAAAAGTAGTTCTTCACCAAAGCGCCTACTTTTGCAATTTAGCTATGATTTCCCTGGTTTCATTTCATGCTGCATTACCATGTTACGCATTCAACCTCATTCAATCCTATGTCAGTTGAATTCCCTAATGTGGGCCATTGATAAAACTAAGTGAAGCAATGACAAGTGGCCCGCAAGTCGACAGGGTCAACCACCACCTACCCTCTATCGATCAGAAGCGAATAAAATCAAAACGCTAAACTCTGACCAGCCATGTTAGGTGGTCAATCGGCTTTGAAGTGCCACTAACAGACTCTTTGGCTCACCATTCCTTAGATTATGTTCATTTTTGTGTGCGATGTGCACGTTTTATGCGAAAGTTCGCGCCTACAAAAACCTTCAAAACTCCCTCAAAAAGCTTCAAAACGACTACAAAAACCATCAAACGCCTACAAATCCCAAAAACTAGGTCACTTTGTTTTTTAATGTTTTCGGCAATATGCAAAAAAGTGGAAATGTTAAGCCTTCTGCTTCTTTTTTGCAGAGTTTTCACGGAATTATGTTTTTGGAAGAAACATGGTCATGATTGCAAGTTTGAACACTGTGCGTGTGTGTGTGCACATCACCATGCGGATTGGGATGCACGACTTATTTTGTGAGAGACCATTTGAAACCAGGCTTTTTCCATGAGCGAAATCTATAATCAATTCAGGGAGTCGGGAAATGACAAAAAAAATCAAGGTTGCAGTGGAGGGCATAAAGCTCGCGACCGGTTTTTGGAGATATCGACCAAAACGTCTACTTTTTGAATTACCGTCCAGAAAAAGTAGAACACTAGGGGTCG